ACATGTGGAATCTACCCCCCGGCCAAAAAACGCACAAAACTCATTGATACAGAGAACAGATTGGTGGTTGCCAGAGGCAATAGCGTGGGGAGTGGTTGAAATGGGTGAAGGTTTCAAAAGGTAAAACCTTCCAGTTCTAAAATAAGCAAGTCACTGGGGCTGTAATGTACAGCGTGATGACTATAGTTAATGATTCTGTATTATGTATTTGAAAGTTGCTAAAGGAGTAGATCTTAAAAGTTCTAAACACAAGAAAAAAATTGTAACTGTGGTGATGGATGTTAACTAGACTTATTGTGGTGATCATTTTGCAATATATACAAATATCAAATCATTATGTTGTACACCTGAAACAAATATGTTATGTGTCAATTATATCTTAATACAAAAAAAAGTGACCCCCATAAAGAAAAAAGTTAGTGGCTCCCCACTCAAAAAAATGTTAGCAGCGGACTTCCCTGGTGGCGCAGTGGTTAAGAATCCACCTGCCAATGCAGGGGACATTGGTCCGGGAAGATCCCACATGCCGCGGAGCAACTAATCACCACAACTACTGAGCCTGCTCTCTAGAGCCTGCGAGCCACAACTACCGAGCCCGTGCCTGTGACTACTGAAGCCCGCATGCCTAGAGCCCATGCTCCGCAACAAGAGAAGCCACCACAATGAGAAGCCAGCGCACCACAGTGAAGAGTAGCCACCGCTCACCACAACTAGAGAAAGCCTGTGTGCAGCAACGAAGACCCCACACAGCCATAAAAAAAAAAAAAAAAAGCAGCATTTGAAATAAAATGATTCTTAAACAAATAAATAAAATGATTCTTAATGATAGACAATAAGTGAAAGGGAAACTAGTTAGGAGGTAAACTACTGTTGAACAGAAGACATCCTTTTAGTTTTCCAAGCTGCATTCAGAGATACAGCTGAAAAGGACTGTGTGAAAATAAATTCTATGTAATATATTCTAACGTTTAAAACTGTGTAGTGGGTCTCCCTGGTGGTGCAGTGGTTGAGAGTCCGCCTGCCCATGCAGGGGACGCGGGTTCGTGGCCCAGTCTGGGAGGATCCCACATGCCGCTGAGCGGCTGGGCCCGTGAGCCATGGCCGCTGAGCCTGCGCATCCAGAGCCTGTGCTCTGCAACAAGAGGGGCCACAACAGTGAAAGGCCCGTGTACCGCAAAAAAAATAGAAACAGAAAAACTGTGTAGTTTATATATTTTTAGGTACTAATATCAAATTTGGGCTCAAACTCAGTTTATTTAAGGCAATGTCAACGTGGTCAGCAGGCTTTTCTCTTCTGAAGATGAGGTTTTTCTAGATTGCTTCTAAGATCTCTTTCAATTCCAAATCCCTGAGTCTGTGAACTCTACTGCATCATGCTGAGTGCTTTTTTTTCCCAGATAAAATGACCTTCTCAGAGCTGTTAGGTAAATCCTCCTAGCTCATTGTCCCTGACTCACTGCCACTGTAATCATGGCACCAGTTGTGGCTGTGCTTGCTTTGAAGTACTAGAGATGAACCACGGGTGCCTTATAATTTGGAAAATCGCATGTTCTCTTTACTATAACTCTGTAAGGCCAATGTGATGGGAGACAACAGAGAGGTATTTAAACTCAGTAGCTATTAAAACCCCAAATCAGATAGTGTTTTAGCTTGCCTACGGGGCACCTCTCTGTGACTGAGGGCTCCTGTTTTGGCTCTTGAGACAGAAGTAGAGAGTCTGACCTAAGCACCAAAGTTTGTCATAAAATTCATGTTTTATTGCCTCCTCTTCATATTACCTGTTAATAACTACAAAAAATTTCTCATCTTTTATCCTTTTCCTGTATTCTGTCAAAAGGAGATTGGTGCAAGTATATAGGCAGAGACCCAAAGCAGCTGAGCTTTCTCCCTCCACACTTTTTTTTTTTTGGGTGGCTGAGCACCTTAGCACCTCAGATTTTTAAGCTTATTTTTAAGCTTCTACATCTGAGTGTTACTCTTGTCTAGTCTTTCCAGGCCAACATTATCTCCTGGAGAGTGCATGAATCACAGTCCACAAACCCACGTATGCCAACAGTTGACTGTTATTGCTGAGGCCGCCATTGTTTTTGTAGGCTCCTGTAGCTCTCTGCCACTTCCTGGTCATGCTGGGTTATAGAAATCTTTGGTAGAGTTGGGAATCCATGGGCCTCTAAGCCAGTCTCCCTGCAGGAACAGATGTAACCCTTCCTTTTAGGTGTCATAGCTTCCCTCCACTAGGTCCTATAAATCTCTATTTGGGGGCTTCTCTCTTTTTACTTCTCCCAAACATTCAGCCTCTTCCCTTCAATGTTATTTATCTCAATGGATTGAGGGGATTGAGGCTTTTTGGAAAACAAATGCCAGTTAAGTCTAGTGAATGGTACTTCTGCTTTCTTGCTACATACCTAACTCTTTAGGTGAGGAAGTGCAGAGGGGAAAACACAGGTGGGAAAAATTATAGCTCAAAGCATTATTCAGCAATATTCATGCATTCTAGAGGCAATTACACTTAAAATTAAAAAAATATTAAGACTTTATCTTATTTTTAGAGAAATTTTAGGTTCACAGCAAAATTGAGGGGAAGGTACAGAGATTTCCCATATATTTCCTGCCTTACTCCCCATGCATAGTCTCCCACGTTATCATCATCCTCCACTAGAGTGATACCTTTGTTACAAGTGATGCATCTACATGGACACATCATAATCATTCAAAGTCCATTGTTAGCATCCGCCTTATACTTTTTTTTAAAAAGAACATTTTTATAGAAGTATACTGCACTTATTGCTATGGAAAGAGTCACAACATATTGTTTTGACAGCAAGTTAAAAAACTGTTTATCAGGATGACTACAATGTTTAAATAGAAAACCTATGTGCATAATAAAATCTAAATGGATATATGCCACCGTGTAACAGTGGATATCTTGGATATCACTGGATTCCACACATCATAAGCAAACTCTTCAGCAGCTGAATTGGTGAAGACATCTGAGATGGACTCAGGACTCACTGATATTACTTTTATTCTGTTTAATATTTTTCTGTAATTTACTGTATAAGAAACTAAGACCTGAAAGTACCGGCAATACACAGTATACAGAGGCTCATAGCTTTATTTAGCACAGCTGTAAATGACTTCTAACTACATTTTAGAGAGGGAAGCTGTGAAGAAAGTGTCTTGCCATACAGCTGGATAAAGTTTCTGAAAAAAAGAAACTGCGAAGGGACTACTGAACTGTTTGCTTTCTAATTCTAAGGGTTAAGAAGGTGAAATAGGGACTTGGAGGAAAAATTGAACTGGAAGTCAGGACTTCTTTGCAACAGTCATTGCCAGGCAATAATTTCATAACGTGGAAAGAGGGGGCAGAGGTGGGAGGAAGAACAGGGAGAGACAGAGGGAGCTAGTCCTAAATGAGTCCTAAGGTCCCAATAGCCCGCAGAGATAGTTCTCCTTAAGTACAAGAGGATTCTCCATAATCAGAAGCCCTCTCCTCCTATGCTGAACCAATTACTCTGCTGGGTTTATGTCTCCAGATACCGTAAACAAAAGGAAACCCGGGCTTAGGGGAGGACGGTGCTTGCCCACTGGGGTGCGTGTGCGCTCAGGAAGCCTCAGGGAACCTATTAAGTCACAATGCAAGATACTGCGCTTTAAAGTCTAGAATCAGGACGTGCCGGCTTGGCTCAAGGTTAAAAAAAAAATAGCCCTACGAATCCTTTTTGTAAATATCGTCGGCCTCCGCCAGGCCCCGCCTTTCCCGGGACGCCATCCCGCGGCCCCAAGAGGGACTCCAGGCCAGGGTCACGGCACCAAGAAGCACCCCCGCACACTGAAGCGCCCCCTGCGGCGCGCCTCTGGAGCTCCGGAGCGGCAGCCCGCGCCTAGTGCGCAGGCACAGAAAACTCGCCGCGGGCCTAGTGCCAAGTCCTAGCGATCACGCCCCCGCCTCGGCCCCAGGGGTCGGCGGTTTACTTTCGAACAGCGGCCCCGCGCTCTTCCTATTGGCTGATGCTACGCAGTTGCAGGTTGCCGGGAGACTGCGCCTGCGTCTTGAGGCTCTCAAGCCCCACCTCATCTGGGAACCTGAAGGCCTTCAGGGCAGAGGAGGGAGGGCGGGAATTCGAGCAGCTCACTGCGTCAGCCCGCAGGCTGTGGAGCTCTGTTTCTGCTGGTGGAGTTGCCTGGTTTTCCCGTCCCCACGGTGAGTTTGTAAGGAGCTTCTCTTCGGTCCGAGAAGGCGGCTCTTGGTCTCTCTTCTTTCCCTGTAGCGCAGGCTGGTGTACTGCATGTGTTTGGGGCTTGGTGATGGAGAGGGCTGGCTTGGGTCCCGCGTCTTGGGTCCCTCTTGTCCCAGGTGGAGAGTTTGGGGGACCTCGTTTTCCTCCCGCCAATAAGGAACTGCATTTCCGTGAGGGAGAAGGCCCTCTGTGGTGGGGAGGCGGAGAGAAGCTGGACTCCGCCGAGCTGGGCGGCCTCGCGGCGGCTCGGAAAGGAGGGCGCCGAGGCGCGTTGGGAGAGAGGCCCGGGAGGATTTGTCGTAAACCTTCGGGAAGGGGAAGGGCAAGGGCACTGCTGTTTCGAGCCCCTTCTCTGGGAGGCGTTCTCATTGGACTTAACCGCGTAGGTGTAGTTATGCCCATTTTACAGATGTGAAACGTCAGTTCTGAGGGGCACTAGGTAAAACTGACCCAGGGTCTGTCAACATTTAAATGGCAGAATTGAGAGATGAACAGACGTATGAATGGGTATAACCTAAATCAAGATTTATAATTTTAAGCTGGCAAAATATTTCACTCTCATGGGTGCTTCTTGTCTTCCAGTTAACTTTCAGCAGTCTAAAATGACCGTGAATGTTTGCTCCGTCATCACGATTGTTGGCTAATATTTTCAAGAGCTCATAAGATACTTGACGCTGTAAAAAGACGTCCTTTGTGACAATTTATTTGGTCACAGACTTGGGATTTTCAAGGTACAGGTGATACCTATCCTGCTGCACCACAGCTGCTGATATTTGTCGCTACTTTTAAAAAAAACACAGTGACGCTTAGGGAAGGTAAACGTCAAAGACAGTGAAATTACCACGATATCATTCCCTATGATATCGTACTTAACATACGTTTTGAGAATATAAGTCTAGAACATTAAGATAAAATTATTTTTATTTTAGAATAAAAATAAAAGAATCTGAAAAAGTTGAAGATATATATTCAGTCTGCAAACCAGAAGGTCAACAAAGTGGTAAGTTCTGGGAGATTAAGTAAATACCAAAGAAATTTTCAGTAAATTTTTACTGAGTGTGTGATTTAAAATGTAAGGGGAAAGTTTTAAATCTTTTGAAAAAAGGTGTGTATGTTGGTGGTGTATAAAATTCAAACCATATAGAAGGATCATAAAGTGAAACATAAACAACTCCCTTATCTGACCTATATCTTAAAGTTAGTCACTGTTAACTCTTGTTTACTCTTCTAGAAATCTTACGAGGGTGTGTGCATCTTAATACAGACACACACATTTAACACATACAGATCTGCAAGTTGAATTTATTAGGTTATCTGGATACCTTTTTACCATGTATTTTCATATTGATCTGCATCCCATTTTAATGACCAAGTAGCTATCCTTTAAAGTAAGGTACCATAGTTTATTCTGGCAAGATGAAAGTTTGGTTTTGGGTGATACTAGTTTTTTTTTTTTTTTAATTTATTTATTTATTTTTGGCTGCACTGGGTCTTCATTGCTGCGTGCGGGCCTTTCTCTAGATGCGTCGAGCGGGGGCTACTCTTCGTTGCAGTGTGTGGGCTTCTCACTGCGGTGGCTCCTCTGGTTGCTGAGCACGGGCTCTAGGCGGGCGGGCTTCAGTAGTTATGCCACGCAGGCTCAGTAGTTGTGGCTCGCAGGCTCTAGAGCGCAGGCTCAGTAGTTGTGGCTCACGGGCTTAGTTGCTCCACGGCATGTGGAATCTTCCTGGACCAGGGCTCGAACCCGTGTTCCCTGCATTGGCAGGCGGATTCTCAACCTCTGCGCCACCAGGGAAGTCCAGTGATGTTAGTTTTAACATTTCTTTTCAGTAAACATATTGCTGAATTTTTCCCACCAAATATATATGTATTTTTCACTTTCAAAAATATTTTTAAAAAAGCAAAGAAAATTTTAACTGCTCGTATCAGTTCCTGGTTAAATTGCATTAATAGTTTCTTTTTTAGTCTGGGGAAACAGGTTGATGTTAAAATGCAGGAAAACAGTGCAAACGGGCAGAGTTAAAATCAGATCTAACCATAGGATATTTTTTTGAAAGAGTTAGGTGATCCTTCATTATTTTTGTACATTTATGTGTACAAAAGTATTCTAAAAATCTTGCCCCATATTTATAGATGGCACAAATGTAGTATTTCTAAAGTAAGTCTTGAATTGCATAAAATGTGCTTTCTATCAGGTAGGGCCACAAAGATGTGAGACCCAGCCTGGGAAGTGGCACCTCTTGAATTTTCCCAGACTTATAGCTGACTCACTCTAAGTCCTAGAGCAAGTCATCTAACTATAATGTGGCAAATTTCTCTTCAGAGGATGTAAAATGTAATGAATGTTTTATAACCATTCATGTTTAGAGATGAAAGGCAATAATGCGTTAGGGAATTAAAACTTAAAAAATAGTTTACAAAGGAGAATGGATAATGATATTTTTGGTACTGCCCAGTTCTCCATCATCTGCTGTCAGTGCTGACCATCCATAATATGCTGGTTAGACATTATGGAGTCTCCATAGGAAATTGGCCCTCTGGAGAAAGACTGCATAAAAAGTTTAGAAATTCAGTAATGTGTTTGTTTTTGACACTTAAGCACAAGAAATTTGTGAAATAATTTATACGTAGATGATTTAGCTTCAGGTTTATTTCCGAAAAGATTTCTTTTTTACGTTCATATTTCTTGGTGACTTTTTTTTTTTTTTTTTTCCGGTACGTGGGCCTCTCACTGTTGTGGCCTCTCCCGTTGCGGAGCACAGGCTCCGGACGCGCAGGCTCAGCGGCCATGGCTCACGGGCCCAGCTGCTCCGCAGCACGTGGGATCTTCCCGGACCGGGGCACAAACCCGTATCCCCTACATCGGCAGGCGGACTCGCAACCACTGCGCCACCAGGGAAGCCCTCTTGGTGACTTTTAAAAGGGAAGCAGGAAATCTTGAACTAAGTTATCAGTTTGTACTTGGGCTTTTAGTACCCACTGGAGGAAAATAACATTTTACATGGGTTATTTTAATTATTTTGTTTTTAAAAATTATAGATTAATATAAATCAATTCTAAAATTAATTTGACGGGAAAGGCTGGTTAATAGGCAAGACGCTTAAACATTTTAAAGTTTTTTTATTGTTTTGAAACATACATAAAATTTACCATTTTAACCATTTTTTTTTTTTTTTTTTTTCCGTACGCGGGCCTCTCACCGTTGCGGCCTCTCCCGTTGCGGAGCGCAGGCCCAGCGGCCACGGCCCACGAGCCCAGCTGCTCCGCGGCATGCGGGACCCTCCTGGACCGGGGCACGAACCCGCTTCCCCTGCATCGGCAGGCGGACTCCCAACCACTGCGCCACCAGGGAAGCCCCTAACCATTTTTAAGTGTGTACATTCCACATTGTTGTGCAACCATCACCATCTATCTTCCGAAGTTTTTCATGTTTCCAAAGTGAAACTGTGCACTCATTAAATAATAACTCTCCAAAGCCCCCTGTAGCCCCTGGCTTGTTTATTTAAAAAGCCAGTTCTTGGGTTTATCAACTCTAACAACTTTCTATATTCTAATTCATAGTTTTCATCATGCATTAGAATTTTCTTCTGCTTTTCCTAGGTTCATTTTCTTTTCTCTTTTTTTTTTAGATAAATCCTTTTTATACTACTTCTGTTTGTTAATGAAAGTATATGGCTTCAGCTCTGCCCTGTAGAACTTTTTTTAAACCCTGTAGATTTTGCTAAAGAGTATTTTTATTATTTCATATGGATAAATTACACCTTGGCTGGGTATAGAATTCTTAGGTCATATCCTTTTCCTTCCAGATCCTTGTGGATATTGATTGCTACATGTCTTTTAGCATTCCTAGTTGCTCTGGAGATGTTCTGGTTATCTACTGCTGTGTAACAAACGTCTGATGGTTTGGATGGCTGCATGTCCAAGATGGCTTTTTCACTCACATGTCTGGCACCTCATTGCTTCTCCTTTTGGCCTCTCTCATCAGCAGAGTAGCCTAGACTTTTCACATAGTGAAGAGGCAGCAATCTGCTAGGCTAGCTAAGGGCTATACCCAGAACTGTCATAGTGTCACTTGTACAGTATCAGATTGGTCAGAGCAGTCACATGTCCTGTCCAGATCTTTTTTTTTTTTAACTATTTATTTATTTATTTGGCTGCATGGGGTCTTAGTTGTGGCACGCGGGATCTTCGTCGCGGCGTGCGGGCTTCTCTCTAGTTGTGGTGCAGGCTCCACAGCACACGGGCTTACTTGCCCCGCAGCATGTGGGATCTTAGTTCCCTGACCAGGGATCAAATCCGCCTCCTGTGCATTGGAAGGCAGATTCTTAACCACTGGACCACCAGGGAAGCCCCAAGCCCAGATCTTTTTGAGGGGAGAATAGATTTCATCTCTAGATAGGAGAATACCAGCAAAGTCACATCACAGAACAACATGTGGGAGTTAATTGTTGTGGCCATCTTTGGAAATTATAGTCTCCCAGAGAATTCTGAGACTATTATGTATTGTTTTCCTTTTTTGGGTATCTTTTCTTCCTGGATGCATGTGGGATTGTCTTTATTTATTTAAAATTTTAATATTTTAAATTGTATGTTAATAGTTGAAAGTAAAACAGAACTTAGGCTTCTCTCCCCACTCTTGATTCCTGCTCTCCAGAAGCAGTCACTTCATTTCTTTTAAATATTTCTTTTGGTATTGCTTCTCTATTCATAAATAATTTGCTTTTAATGTGATTTCTTGATTTTTCACTTTTAGGCATGTATTGACTTCTTAGAAGATTAAGATAAGTTCTTAAACTTCGTTTCCTTCCCTTATTCCCTCCTCCCAACGTAATTTTGTCAGTTTCTTAGTTTGGGCTGTTATAACAAAAATACCATAGACTAGGTGGCTTAAACAACATTTATTTTTTTGCAGTTTTGGAGGCTGGGAAGTCCAGGATCAGGATGCTGGCAAAGTTGGGTTCTGGCGAAAGCTCTCTTCCTGCTTTGCAGGTGGCCATCTTCCTGCTGTGTCTTCACATGGCCGAGAGCAGAGAAAGAGAGGCAGCAAGCCCTGGTATCTCTTCTTCCTATAAGGGCCTAATCTCATTCATGAGGGCTCTACTCTGATGACCTAATTACCTCCCAAAGGCTCTACCTCATTAATACCATCACATTAAGGGTTACGATTTCAACTTATGAGTTTGGGGAGACACACTCAGTCCTTAACAGTCATGCTTTTTGGTAAAATCAATATTTAATATTTAAAATATTATAACTAATAGGACAGTTGAGCTATATAATGTGCTGTAGTATTTCCTCTTTTCATGATTCCATCACTTTTCCCTAAATTTAGTTTTCTCATTACCTCTCAATATGTTCAGACACGTGAAATATTGTCAGTTCCATTTATTTACTTTAAAGCATTCCTTCTGGATTTCTGTCTTCTTCCTCCAGACTACTATTTCTCTAGGCTTGCGGCACAGTTATCCAGGACTTCATTTCATAGTTATCCTGGTGAGAATTATTGTTTTTCTTTTCTTCCTGCAGCAGCTTCTTTAGAAAGGGTGGGTGATGGGTGGTTCAGTTTTGAGACCTCTTGTGTTAAACTATCTTTAGAGTACCTTCAAAATTTATTTACTTTGGGTATAGAATTTTAGGTTGGAAGCCATGTTTTCCCGAGAATATTGAAGAATTGCTTCATTGTCTTCTAGTTTCCAGTGTTGTTACCTACACACAGCATAGCTAAATCCAAGATGTTCATACCAGAAAATATTCATAGGAAAAATTTTTTGCTCCTTTATTCCCCCTCAGGAGTCTAGGCTGGTTATGGAAAATTTCTGATGCATAAAATTTCATACTAGTTTCTGTAAGAACTAGCCCCTAAGCATGATAGCCACCTTTATCTTCTGTTTCTCAGGCAGCAACCAGAGTTAGAAAGTTCCTGGCCTTACATAGTTATTTTCAACCAGGCTTACTTCTTTTTTTTTTTTTTTTTTTTTTTTTTTTTTTTTGTGGTCCGCGGGCCTATCCCTGTCGTGGCCTCTCCCGTCGCGGAGCACAGGCTCTGGACGCGCAGGCTCAGCGGCCCAGCCGCTCCGCGCCATGTGGGATCCTCCCGGCCCCGGGCACGAACCTGCGTCCCCTGCATCGGCAGGCGGACTCTCAACCACTGCGCCACCAGGGAAGCCCCAGGCTTACTTCTATTAGCCAGTTCTGACTTACAGATTTGTTGCCTAAAATCAGTTTTTCATATATCAGCTAGAAGAGGGTAGTCTTAGATTTGATTTCTGTATCTTCAAGCTATCTACACGTTTCTGATTAAATTGTTAAAAATTTTATGTGCTATGGAAGTAACTTTTGAGACCAGGATATTTGCTTCCACTTTATGTAAGTTTAAGAGATGATATTTTCTTTACAATATTGTTATTGAATATCTTCATTCTAAAGAAAGTTGAGCTTTTGGGTCCTTAAATGAGTTTGCAGGGAAAATGATTTCTAACTTTTTGACAAATATAGGACTTTGGAGGGAAAGGTTGTGTTCTGTTTTAGGGTTGATTTTTGGTACTTACATTAAATAACTCTAATATTAAATCTAAATTGAATATATGTCCAATGCTCAAATTTTATTCCTTTGCAAAGTGCTATTCTGTTTATTCCTTCATTATGAATTCTGACATCACTGAAATAAACTGAGAAACGTTTTTCTTGGGTGGTTTTTCTATTTCAGAGCTCTCTGTAGGTAAAGGGTAGTCATAAAGGCTTCCCAACATGTAGGCACTTAAATTTATCTGCAGTGAATGTCATCTTCTGTTGTCCAGTTATTTTTGTTTCCTGGAATGCCTCACAGTTCAGGCTTATTAGTCTCTCACATCTTGGCTCATTACGGTTCTTAATATTGTCAGTCTGAATGGAGTATTTTCTATTTTCTGATGGACTCTTGACAAAAGCTTTTCCTAAGCAGAGATTTTACTATTTAAAGAAAAAAAAAAAACCCAAAACTAAGGTCTGGCATTTTATTAACATTGGTCTCTTAAGGGGCAGTGTTTATTCAACCAGTCTTGAGTGAATGCCTACTGTGTGTCAACTTCTGTGCTTAGACACAATTCCTGCCCTTATTGCAGGCTTATATTCTAATGTTTTGAAAAATGTTACAAAATTCTTTTTTTGACTGCGCCACGCAGCTTGTGGGATATTAGTTCCCTGACCAGGCATCAAACCCAGGCCCTGGTAGTGAAAGTGCTGAGTCCTAACCACTGGACCTGCAGGAATTCCGACAAAATTCTTTTAAATAAACTCCATCTAAGTGCTCCCTATAAAGTAGAAATGCAGTGTTCAGTGAGATTAGGGGACCTAATCTGGGGGAGGAGGTGGGACTCAAGTTGAGACTTGAAGGATGAATGAGTTGGGTTTTGCAATTGGTGAAGATGAGGCGCATAAGAGCTGTAAAAAAAAGTCTGAAGAGGTTTTTCTTTCTTAAAAGTACAATTAGTTATTCGTAAATACTTCTAACAGTTTTTATAGAGGAGGATTTGGTAAGCTTTAGATTTTGCATGAGTGGCACGTGGAAGGCTTGTTGGAAATATCAGTAATAGCTTGCCAAGACGTCAAGTTGCTTGTGTCAGAGAGGGTCTCTGAACTGTTGCTGGATTTCTTTCACGAAGGAAAGATGACTAATGATGTTCTTTACCACTAATGCTCTAGTGGTCTACCGTAATTCATAATTACCACAATCAACACTTCATCTTTCAAACTTTTTTATCGCAAGGACTAATTCAGAAATATTACTCCTTCCAAATCTTAAAATTAACATTACTTGATACTATTACACTGTGCTGATCCAGGGCTTTAAGCATACACGCTAATACTCCAAAATTCAAGAAGCTTGAAATTTATAGAACAGTTAGAAATTTAATAACTTACTTTAGAAACTATGGTTGAGCCAACTGGGAGTGTGAATTGAAGAATGTAATTTTGTTAAGAATTAACTTTTTATTTCATAGAAATATTTAGTCTTACCTATTCATGATTTGTGTATAGTTTTGATTTTAGCATCTTAGAATGTAAAAAGTTGCACAGACTAGTTATTAAATAGACTTCAACAGAACACCCCAAAGTAAATAAGCTCTTAAAGGTGATCAGTTACTCAGTGTTAGGAATTGCATTATATAGAAAGCTAATTTTAAAAATCTTACTCTTTTAAATCACAAGTACAGTATATTAACAATTTGGAGGTTAACACCTAAAGCTTTACATAATATGTGCATGTGTCCTTGTTATACGTAGAATTAAAATACTTTTTTCTCTTGACAGGAAATGCACAATTTTGAGGATGAGTTAACATGTCCTATTTGTTACAGTATTTTTGAAGATCCTCGTGTACTACCATGCTCTCATACATTTTGTAGAAATTGCTTGGAAAATGTTCTACAGGCATCTGGTAACTTTTATATATGGAGACCTTTACGCATTCCACTCAAGTGCCCTAACTGCAGAAGTATTATTGAAATTGCTCCAACTGGTATTGAGTCTTTACCTGTTAATTTTGCATTAAGGGCTATTATTGAAAAGTACCAGCAAGAAGACCATCCAGATATTGTCACCTGCCCTGAACATTACAGGCAGCCGTTAAATGTTTACTGTCTCCTGGATAAAAAATTAGTTTGTGGTCATTGCCTTACCATAGGTCATCATCATGGTCATCCTATAGATGACCTTCAAAGTGCCTATATGAAAGAAAAGGACACGCCTGAAAAACTGCTTGAACAGTTAACTGACACACACTGGACAGATCTTACTCGTCTTATTGAAAAGCTGGAAGAACAAAAATCTCTTTCAGAGAAAATGGTCCAAGGTGATAAGGAAGTTGTTCTCCAGTATTTTAAGGAGCTTAGTGATACATTAGAACAGAAAAAAAAAATTTTCCTAACTGCTCTTTGTGATGTTGGCAATCTGATTAATCTAGAATATACTCCACAAATTGAAAGAATGAAAGAAATAAGAGAGCAGCAGCTTGAATTAGTGACACTGACAACATCTTTACAAGAAGAGCCTCCACTTAAATTTCTTGAAAAAGTTGATGATGTCCGCCAACGTGTGCAGGTCTTGAAACAAAGACCACTCCCTGAGGTCCAACCTGTTGAAATTTATCCTCAAGTAAGCCAAGTACTGAAAGAAGAATGGAGCAGAACAGAAATTGGACAGATTAAGAAACTTCTCATTCCTGAAATGAAAATTTCTTCAAAAAGGATGCCATGTTCCTGGCCTGATAAGGAGGAAAAAGAAGTTGAATTTTTTAAGATTCTAAACATTGTTATAGTTACACTAATTTCAGTGATGCTGACGCTGATCCTCTTTTTTAACCAACACATAATGACCTTTTTAAATGAAATCACTTCAATATGTTTTTCTGAAGCCTCTCTATCTGTTTACCAAAGTTTATATAAGAATGTGCATGATTTAAAGAATATACTGTATCACACTTTATATTTACTGAAGGAATTCATGTGGAAAATAATTTGTTGAAAATTCAAATCTGAATTGTTTAAGTAGGCTTACTCTGTACAGCAGAGACTAATGGCCATTGCTAAATGGAGCAATAGGGGTAGCATGGATAAATAAAATAGCAAGCTAAAGTTTATTAGAGTTGCAACAAATATAATCCCTTTCATGCTTCTGTTGAATAGAAAATGTGTCATCAAAAGTTAGAAATGAGACAGAATGTCTCTCGTTTTCTGAAAACCAGAACAAAATTTAGTAATTACTTGATTTTGAGTATTATCCCAGTTCTATTGGTTTGAGAGGTTGACTTAATATCACTGTGATATTTAAATATTCTTGTACCAATATTATCTTTTAGCGTTATATACTGCAGTGGTTGGCTCTGCAGTTCTTTGTGTATACGTAGCTTTTAATTAAAAGATGGCAAAATCCCGAAAGGTATAAGCTTGACACTTTTGAATGGACAAATGATGGTGAGAAGAGGTTTTTGCTTAAAGATGTGTTTGATCAAATGTACCTGATCCACACACAGTAATGTATTTTAGGTAGATTTAAGAGCTCTAAAATGTTTATATCAGCATTCACTCCTAATAAAACTATTGCTTTGGGAAAGCTAAAGTGCCATTAGGGACCAAACAGTAACATTCCCTAGTACTTATTATTCTATGGTTTGTGTAAATTTATTTTAGGATTGTATTTAACTTTTGTGTAGTCTTAGTCATGTTAGTCAAATCAGTTCTTGGCTAAAAACTCTAAACATGTTACTAGAATGGAATATTATTGATATATCCCACCCTCATCATATTTGAATGGCATCTTGTTAACTGTTAGGTCTAAAATTTTCTGTTGAACTTTCCCTTATGCCAATGCCAAAGTACCAATAATTCGATCTTATTTTCTTGAATTGTGTTATAAAGGGAGCCTACTTAGTCATTAAGTCAAAATCCCTTTGATTTAGTTTCCTTTTTATTAACAGGGGCTGAACCATGGTGCTTGTGGTAGGGCTCTTAGCCCTTTTGTCCTTGTAACCGTAAGTACAAGCTTACTCACTTTCCGGAAATTCCAAATTGGCTGTAGCTCTTGGATCACATATTTAGGAGCCTTACTTAGTTCACACATTTTCCAGGTCAGATTAGATCCTATGGCTGTGACTGTACTCGGGGCACTAGTTCTAAAATACTCCTTAGTGTCTTATCTACTGAGAACAAGTCTGAACACTAAGATGGCTGGCTGTATTGTCAATTTATGATCAGAATCAGAATAGCACGACTAACTGTTGTGTGGGCAGAGAACATCTGGAGGTGGAGGAGGTATATATTCATCTTACCAACTAACTTTAGACTGAAGTTGCATCGACTTGATTAAAGTAATAGTTACAACACAAAAATGCCACATACTTTTTGGAATACGTATATTAGTAAGCACTGAAATGTTAGGTATTATGTGTCAAAATTGTAATCTCCTATTTCTCGTGTGTATTAATCCTCACTTTTGTAGATTAGGAAACAGACACAAAAGTAAATTGCCCAAGTATATTAGACTCCATGTATTCTTTTCAGAGTTCATCTGTCGTGCTACCTTTTTAAAGGATTTAAGCCAAGATTTTTTAATCTATGAATCACAGCTAAAAACTGAAGCATTTTAAGTTTGACCTTAATATTTTTTGTAACTTGCCGGTTTTTAGTAGAACTTTACTGTTGGATAAATTTTATGTAGTGTGCATGAATATAAAATATACAAATAACTGAGTCTTATATATGCTCTTTTTGTATTTTTATCAGGAGGATGAGACTGTAAAATTTTAAGTATGTAATCCTGAAATATTTCTAAGTTTATGTATAACAAAAGTATATATTTTAATAAACTCATTTTGATATAAGCATTGAGTGGCTTAATAGGGGAGTCAAACTCGGGAGTGGTTGCTTTGGAATTTTCGTATGGACTACAGGCATTATCATCTATCTACTTTAACTCTTTAAAAGTTAGTACTGGGCTTCCCTGGTGGTGCAGTGGTTTAAGAATCCGCCTGCCAACGCAGGGGACACGGATTCGAGCCCTGGTCTGGGAAGATCCCACATGCCGTGGAGCAACTAAGCCCGTGCACCACAACTACTGAGCCTGCGCCACAATTACTGCCCACGTGCCTAGAGCCCGTACTCTGCAACAAGAGAAGCCACCGCAATGAGAAGCCTGCGCACAACAAAGAGTAGCCCCCGCTCTCAGCAACTAGAGAAAACCCAGGTGCAGCAGTGAAGACCCAATGCAGCCCAAAATTAAATGGATAAAATAAAAGTACTAAGCTTTACTACTCCATTGGTTATTAAAATATAAAAATATTAAATTCCATTCACCTCTGTTCTCACCAATCAAAAAGCCCTTGATTATGTTGATACTCTTTTCTAGTTACTTTTCCCTTGTATAATCTTGATTTAAAACAAATGACCATACTTGAGTTATAGATCTTGCTTTATTTAAGTCCATGCTAATGTATTTACACTTTTAACGGTTATATTATGATACAGACTGTCTTTGTTGGGTTTTAGTACCTAAACAATACTGCATTGAACAACATGGTAATTTTTAATTTTAATTCCTCAGGATCAATATTCTAGAAACTGAATAGGGCAGACTTTTGATTCAATACCAAAATTTCTTTTGAAAATCAAGTGGTTGCTGGCTTCCAGTAGCATTATAATATTCTTGGGCTAATACAGTGTAACACAACAACAAAAAACCCTTGACAACTTGATGGGCAAACAGCACTCCATCTTAATTGCCATTTATACTAAGGAAATTAGTCCTTATATACTTTATTCTTTTTCTGAAGTGGGTATTTTTCCTTTTCAACTATTGAGATATCCAAGTTATTTCAGACATATTTGCTGACCCTTTTTGCAAGTGTTTGTTTCAGTCAAGCATATCAAGTTTTAGAAAACAATATTCAAATTCTCATCCTTATAATTCAGAATGACGGTTTAAAAAAAAATGTTCCTAGTATTTGGGTAACAGTGACTATCTAAATTACTAAGTGAAATACCTTAAAAATTTTACTATAGTAGCAGTTGATAGGCTTCATCCAGCATAGGTAAAAGGTCCATGAGAGTATGCTGTGTCTTGGTAACATGATCTAGTTCAGAACTGTACTGTTCACTTTTAACTCTGCAGGTAGCAGTTTGGGGCTAAGGGTAAGTCACCTGACCCCCACAGGCATCTTATTTTCTCCACAGTCTGCTGCTTACAAAGTTACCAGTTTCTTACAATCTCCTAGAAGCAGGTATAGAGAATATTTTATTAGACTTGTAACATGTCTCTTAAGTAACAGCATAAAATAGAAACTAGTTATATGATCCAGTTTAAGAATATGTATTTTATATAATTTATAACCCTTTACAAATAGAAAGTCAGTAAATACAGTACGCTGAATCTGGTGATTCAATCTGAGAAATCTTCAGTATAAACAAGTTTAGCAAAGTCCTTTAGATGCAATTTCTTTCGGGTTTACTGCAACACTTTTTGTTATATTGTATGTCTTGTAAATTCCAATAAGTCTATCTGAAATCTCAAACATATTATTTCGAAGAGAAATTATTATGAACTGGGCATTTTTTGTTTGTTCCTAAAGAGAAAGAAAGAATAAATTAGAAAAATTTACATATATTATAAATACATAAATCATATAATAAACATCTAAGCTTTACTTCCCTGAAATATTTGACAGTAAATTCAACATGACATTGATAATTAATTAACATGAAGAATGACAACATGGATAATTCATGAAACAATATTTGGGTTTGAGAATAATTCAGGTATTTGGAAGGATGGTTGCCTAGAATTCTAGTAGAAAAAAGATATAGAAAAAAAATTTCTAGCTGTGTTTCTGCTACTAATTTACATTATCCATTTATATTTCACTTTTCCAAAATGGAACTATTTGGCTGAAATAAAGGATGTGGTCTCCTTTAATACCATGGGATGTGGGATTAGAAAACAGGGAATACTCAAATAAGTCAAAGAATTTCATCTGTAATGTTTAGGGAACACAAAATTTTCAGAATGAAAAGCTCCAAATGATTACTTACATATATATAAAATGCAACAATGGAAACATTTTTGAAATCAAGGGCTGCATCAATCTCATCCATGAAGTACAGGGGAGTGGGTTTGTAGTGGTGAAGAGCAAATACTAAAGCCAATGAACTAAGTGTTTTCTCTCCTCCTGAAAGGTTGAAGATCTTCTTCCAACTTTTCTTAGGTGGTCGGACACTGAAATAAATAAGAAAATCTCATTAGTCAAATTACTTGTAAAGCTAAATTAAGACTTCGTGATTTGTTTCCCATAACTGGCTTCTACCACCTTCCTTGGGAATCTCTAATTTCCTTTTCACAAATATAAACTTCTGAGGGGTTCTTCTATAAACATGTTATTGGAGGATGAACACATAGGAACACCTGACAAAAATTAAGATTTAAACAGCAAGCTAATAAGTAATTCTTGGTATTTTCCCTCTGTTTCCAATGCACTTTTTGCTTTGCAATTTTAAAATACATATGTTAGATTGAAATGGCTCAAAAATTAAAAGATGAACTAGACAAATATTCTGTAAAATCAAGTATTTACTTGATTTTACTTGCCTAGTATTTTACTTGCCAAGTATTTGGCAAGTATTTACTTGCCTAGTATATTACTTGCCAAGTATTTACTTGCCTAGAATTTATGCTGTAAACTAATATCTAGGCAAACTAGTATTTATGAAATAAAACAAGTTGTACATCTAACCTTCACATCCTACCCCTAAAAAAAATACTGAGTTTTGAGAATATGTAGAGAGATATAACAGAAGAATCCGAAACTCAGTATACAGCATAATTACAAACCTGAACATGATTCCTTCAGAGAAAGGATCCAAGCTGTCTACAAGCTCCAGCTCGGCATCACCTCCCAAAGTAAGCATTTGGTAATTTTCCTTTAATTTATTTGTTATTATATAAAAACCTGCCATGAATTCATTAAGTCTTTGTTTCCGAAGATCTTCATATGCCTGTCTAAAATTATCTCTTTCATAAGTAATTTTGTCCAATTCTGCTACCCGTTGTAAATATAATTCTTCCTATGAAAAGAATGAGAAAAACATCAATTCAGTTATACATTTGAGATGAGAAATAACACTGCTAATTATATAAAATAAAGGCCACAATTTAGGCTAAGGTCTAGAGACTTCCTGACTATTACACAGTTTATTTGTACCTTCTTTTTATACTCTGCAATGGCACCAAGGTTTGGTTTCATTTCATGACACTGGGCTTCCAAGAGTGCAATTTGATTTGTTATGGAATCTGGGTTCTTGATTGCTTCAAGATATTCTGGGCTTAGAAGTGGAATCTCTTCAACAGGATTATCTTCTATGGGATGCAATGATATTTTTGAGATCTAGAAGTTTAAGTTAGATCAGTGTTAGAAAAGGCATAGTATTATAATTCATTGTTAAACCTCACAAATTAATATGACAAACTGCCTATTAAACGACACATACTAAGGAGTGGTAACTAATTTGTGTATCAACTATGTTTCAAAGGACTTCAAGAAAAATAGTTGTAGTGTTCCAGGTGTTCATGTAGCCATTTGTTAAATCTCCGTTATCAGCCCTGGGGTGAAAATGTTGACTAATTCTGACCACTATGCATATTTTTCTGTATATAATAACTCCTATATACTGTTCATTTTGTCTCCTATAAACCTGAGAAGTGATTATACACCATGAAATTAAGAATCACAACATACCTCAAAAACATAAACCCTAACCTTTTTTCATAAAGGATATCTTAAAGTTACATTTAACTATCCATAACAATTCTCACCTCTTTTTGCCAGTATTTTATTTTAGAATTATGTTCACCAATATGACCATCTACTTGTTCAAGTTTCAACTTAATACTAAGTGCATCTTTTTGAAGAGCATGTTCATTTTCCTGAATTACTTTTAGTTCTTGAAGTAGGTTACGATGTTCTTTCTGGATCTCTGGTAAGGACTCCTAAAAACCAAGAAGAAATACTACAGATATGATCTTCTCAAACAGAACAGGGTTTTTCACATTACAAAGATGAAGAAGCGAGCAATCTCTCCCCACGCCCCTTCCACTTTAAATGAAAATGTTTTTATTTACAGAAAAGTTACAATACAGTACTCATTTTTACTGTACAGATGAAAGTTAATACAAGTTTAACTTATTGAGTGCTTACTAGGCAAGGTATTGATATCTATAAATCTTAATTGCTTGAAATACCATCCTCTCCCCTCTCCATGTCTTACCTCTGCAGCATTTGCATTCTTTACGACCTCCGCTGCTTTGTCTTCAAGACTTTTTAGCTCTGCTGTTAAGTCATCTACTTCTTTCTCAGTATCTTTTATTTCTTTCTCTGTGCGAAAGACAGAGTCTTGTGCTTTTTTAAGATTTCTAAACAAGCAAAATCATATATTAAAAATGTGGTAATGTGTGATTTGTTATTCTGCTTCTGAAAACCTACCAAAGAACTTTTCATGACATTAATGTAACATTTTTTTCATCATAGATTTTAAAATTTATGATTGTTTTTTTATGTTTATACATACACTTGTGGGATACTGTATATTAAACTCAGTATAAATTAATAAAACTTCCTTATATAAGCTTTTAGACTTAGACTATGAAGCAAAATTGTCCATTGAATGATTATATTCTTATAATTTTCTTGTCAGATTGGAGATTCTTAAATCTTTACACCCATGAAGCTATACCATCAAGTAAACAAATACACCCTGGTTCAAGTCAGGGCAAACAAGTGTTTTTGGCAGGGTGAAGCGGGGAGGAAAATGAACACATGACAACACACACACACACACAACTATTTTTTCCCTTAATAAAGTTACTTCTATTTTGACTGGTAATTGTGTTTAGGCAAAACATATGGCTTATTAGCACCTTATCTTTGAACAAAAGACATTGTAATAGTGGAATAACCAGATAATCAAATGTGACTCATAATTTTAAGACAAAAGAAACAGCTGTTTACATTTCAACATTTTAATAAATATTTAGCTTTAATTATTTTAGAAATACTTTAATACTCAAAATTAATTTAAAAACAAGATCTATGTTATGAAAGTATTAAAAGCTTTTTGGGACAATGGAATCTAGTTAATTAAAAATTTAAGTTATTAAAACAATTTTGGTAAGAAATCTCAACCTTCTTATTCTCCTAAAACCTAGATCTATTTCAATGAATCACCGTCTACTCCTTTAGGCCAGAGAAATGAAACTCTGACTTCTATGTCCTCACAACTTGGGAATTATATAACCACATTTTGCCAAAGCATACCTGTTTATGTTTTTAAAAACTAGTCATATGATGTTTATTATAGGTGTCCACCTATTAAACTCCTATTAGGTAACAACATGTCAGAAGGGCTTAGTAAGTAACAGTAACAGAAACATTTAATGGACATTAAGTTTAAATATTAATGGGATGTAGGGAAGAGGAAGACAGGGTAGTATGCATACTCTACCTGTCAGCAGTCTTGATTGCTACTTGGGCTTTAGTAATAGCAGAAGCACATTCATCTAATTGTTTGTTTATTTTATCAAGTTTGTCTTGTTGGGCCTTGAGTTTATGGTTATTGATTTCTACGATAATATTGTGTAACCTTTTAACCTCAGCTTCCACTTTACCAGCTCTCTCAGCCACATTGTTATACTCTGGAAAAAAAAAAAAAGTGAAATTAATTTGTTTCTATGCTAATGAGCATCACTTGTTAGACGTAAATCTCTTCAGTCAATATGACTTAACCTGATGCATGCCCAAGAAATTTTAGACATTTAAGGAAAAGTACCTCAAAAAAACAAAAAAACAAAAAACAAACCCCAAAACACAAAACCAGAATGCCCAAGTCAAAACAAATGGTGTTATATAACAACACGTGGTTAAATTCTCTAGCTCAGCTGTGAACATAACCCACTTATCTCTTACTGGCTTCATGCCTTGAAACTCTTTTCAGAAGTTTTTAGGGTACTTTCTTGACTATTGGTCTCATAATGATTTTTACCCTTAGATAGACTATGTGCCTGACTACTGCCCAGGGTGAAGAAAATTGTGGTTGTTTTATTCAGTCAAAAAAAATTCACACAATTTGGATGGCAAAACTGATGAGTTGAGCATGTTTCTGCTGGCAGTCATGGAAAAGGCTGAATTTTCTTGGTGGTGTTAGAGGCTCTGGTGTCCTGTCAAAAGCTTTGTGAATATTGACAGGCAATGGCATTAACTTTGACAGTGTAGATTATAGTAGTTACAATGTGCTTCTGTTGTTGGCAGTTGTAGTGTCATCTTCCCAATTTGGTATTTATTTATTTGGCTGTGCCAGGTCTTTAGTTATGGTATGCGAACTCTTAGTTGCGGCATGTGGGATCCATTTCCCTGACCAGGGATTGAACCCAGGCCCCCTGCACTGGGAGCGTGGAGTCTTAGCCACTGGACCACCAGGGAAGTCGCTTCATCTTCCCAATTTGAGAGATGACTTTCCAGTTGTAGAAGAGGCAGTATAGTTCCTTTCATGGTTCTACAGAGTAGCTCTGGAAATTATTCTTCATGTTCAACCTAGAATTTCTTAAGCCATCACAGTGATTCTGTAAATAATCTTACTCTGTTAAACACACAAACAGACACACACACACACACACACAAATCATATCTGTACTAACCAGAGTGGATTCTGTTCTCCACATTTGAATCCTAATCACTATACAATATAGGAAGGATGAAAGGTGGCAAAAAGGTAAGTTCAAACTTTCAATATCTATGTCTAGAAAAGCAAGCAGAAACAGAGCCAACTTATGGAAAGAGACTCCCATAAAGCTCCTATGGGAGGAGTGTATCAATACATTTCGCATGGGGAAAGGAGGTAGGATGTGCTAAGGGGAAAAGATTAGATAAAGACTTAACTGTTGTTCCTCTAGATTGTCTCTTCTCTCCTGTTAGGTAGATTGGAATTTCAATATTCTCCAAATCTCACAACTTAGTATTCATCTTTTTGTCCTACATTATCAGAGAATTCTTTAGTCTGATCTTTCAAACTCATCTAGTGAGTTTAACTCCAACCTCTATTCTTTATATTTCTGAGATCACCACTTGGCTTTTTAAAAAAACAAAGCAAAACAAAACCCTGCCCTTTTTTTGTCTTCTGAATCCCCTTTTCCCCCTAAGGATACTAAGATAATGTATTTATTGAAGGAATTCTTTTGCTCAAAGTGGCGATGTTCTCTGTAGTTTAAGTTCCATTAGGCTGTCTGTATGCTTAGCTCCCTTGTGGGGTAGAGTACCAGCTGCTGTGGGGTCTGGCATCATGACTTATACTGGGGTGTGGGCCAGGTATGCAACTGGGAAGGGTTCCACCCTTCAGAACATCTTCTCCCTTATTTTCAAGTACCTAACATGCATTAAAAATTCTTTTCCCTATCTATAGTAGCATGTCTATTAGAAGTAGGAGGGGAAAACTAACATCAGATAGTCTATAATTTTGAAGTCACTATTTTATACCACCTTGCTCCCCTTACTCTCTTCTCTACACAACAGCCAGAGATTTTAAAAATGTAAATTAATGTAAAATAAAATATTTAATCTTAAAGATATGCTTGCAGAAATAGGCTTCCATATTAGATATTAACAGTCTACTAATAATAGCCAGTGTTTCCATGAGAGGAAATATATATGGGGCTCCTAAAGTCAAGGATTCCCTTTCAAACAAGAATACAGATTCCTGTAGTCTCTCTGTGAAAGTGCTGCTATAAATGACAAAGATACACAATTTTTGTTTCAATTGACCATTAGGTTCCATCAAAGCAAACACAACAAATATTGTAGGTATTCTGGGGAAGGAGGGGTAGGGTGAAGTCCCTGTGTCTCCAAGGACAAAATATATACCCAAAATAAATGCAAGGAAAAAGAAGTCCTGTCAGATTATATCACTTCCCTGTATATGACTTTCCAATGGCTTTTAATTTCACATGGAGGCAGGGCTTATAAGGCTCTACATTATCTGGATTCTTCCATCGTTTAACTCTAGCCACTCTGGCTTCCTAGTGTTCCTAGAAACTTCTGGCATACTCCTTCCCGCCCCAGGGCCTCTACTTACTCCTCTACATTCTTCCTAAAATGCTCTTCTCCCAAATATCCACATGTCCACTCATACTTCCACTGGGTCTCTGCTCAAGTATCTCTGGCAGTGGCCTGTCTAACCACTGTGTCTATCTGAATCCCCATCCCACCCAGTTTTCCTGGTTTTACTTTTATCACCTAGCACCACCTGATACAGTATGCAATGGATTTATTATCTTTTAAGTGTGAGTTCCTTGAAAAGAGGGACTTTATTTTGTTCACTGCTTGATCAACAGCACCTAAAACAAAGCTTGGCCAGTAGCAGATGCTATCTGAGTGAATGCCTCAATATTAAAAACATAGATAAATATGACCACAAAAATAAAAAAATTAATACAGCTATATATTAATATTCAATGTGCCAGTGGACATCTACCTGTCTGCTTATAATCTTTTTACCTCTTTTTCTTTGGGAAGAAAACTCGACCTCATTTTTTGAACATTTGGATAATTGCTCCAATTCCAGTCCATCCAGTTCTTTCAGATGAACAATCAGTATTTGCCTTCCTTTGCTCATGAACCAGACTGTAACAAGGGTCTTTCTTGAGGACATGATGAAGGCTCACTCTGTTTGTTGGTGTCCCTAAGATACTGTGTAACTCACCATTACCTCCTTGTGCAATAAGATGCACATCTACCTATGTTTAATTGAAGCCAATATGGAAATAGAAGCAGGGTTGCTCAAGTGCATGATCAGAGGATTTTAATGTCAAAGTCAATTCTGACTATGAGCCTATGAACTAATTCCCTTTCTTGCTGAAAGCTTTTGGTAGAACACTTACATGTTTATATACAAGAAGAAAAAGTTCTGGAAGGAAAAATGTGTTTTCTCTAAGCTCTCAAACAAATAAAATAACTACTATCTTGAAGGGTCCTTAGGAAGACTGGGCCAAAGTATACAAAATATAAAATTAAAAGCATGGGTATCAGAATCAGACTGCCTTGTTCCTGAATTCCTATACCACCACCATATGATATGCGACCTTGGGCAAATTATATAAACCATTCTGTGCCTCAGTTTTCTTATCTGTCAAATGAAGTACTTAATAATACTTTATAACCTTCTGAGAAATAAAAACAAAAACCATAAAATAGAGTGGTCACTTGTCTATAATATATGAAATCTGCTACTTCTTATTCTACAAACTGCTATCTTAAACATTCCAAATATTACAAACCTGTTTTTGACCATACAGGGGGGGAAAAAAAAGTGTATATCCTTAAACATACCTGTCTTGAAAGCAGTAACATTTTCTTCTAGCAATTTCTGCTTTTTTTGGTCAGGGGCTGTAGCAAGTACATTAGCTTCAAGTTCCTTAACTTGGACATTCAAATATTCTTCTTGCTCTGATAAACGCTACAGAAATGTTTTAACATTCAAAACTGTTAGTATTTTAAACTTACTAACAATAACATTTGCTTTAAACATTCTGAATTAAAAAAGAAAGGTAATTAAAATCTTTAAGAAAAAGACAAAAACACGAACTATTAATATAAAAATCGAAAATGGCCAACAAAATGCATGAAATGTATACACTCATTATGAAAATAAGTTAAAATGCTATTTTTTAGTATTTACATCAGATTAGCAAACTTACAGCAAACTGAAGAGTACCTAGTGTTCAAAGACTTGGAAAAATTATTTGCACATGCTACTATTAGTAAATGAATTAGAACCGTCTTTTTGAGAACAATTTGGCATCATGCAACAAACGCTTAAAACACTGTACAGGGCTTCCCTGGTGGCGCAGCGGTTGAGAGTCCACCTGCCGATGCAGGGGACACGGGGTCGTGCCCTGGTCCGGGAAGATCCCACGTGCTGCAAAGCAGCGGGGCCCGTGAGCCATGGCTGCTGAGCCTGCGCGTCCGGAGCCTGTGCTCCGCAACGGGAGGCCACAGCAGTGAGAGGCCCGCGTACCGCAAAAAAACAAACAAACAAAAACACTGTACACATACTGGGTAATAATTATAGTTTCAGAACTCTAACCTAAGGAAATAATTGGATGAGTGTATTAAGGTCTGCCTAACAAGGATATTTAAAACACAGCAGTGTACATAGTCAACACAGAAAAATATTTATCGAATCGTGATACAAACAAAATACGCCAATACAATTGCACACAAAGTAAATGTACATTGGCTTGGAAAGAAAATCGTAATTAATAAGTGAAGAAAAGTTAATAAGACTCATTAAAAATTCATATGCAAATTTAATATGTATATCAATATCTGCCATATACATAAACACATACATGCAAACTAGACACACTAAAAGTTGAAGGACATACATAAAAATTTAAGGTGATAATCTTTTGGTTATTTCCTAAAAAGTGGTTTCTGATTTTGTTTTTGTTTTTGTTTTTTTTTATAGGAGTTTTATTAATTAATTTTATTTATTTTTGCTGCTTTGGGTCTTCGTTTCTGAGCAAGGGCTATCTCTAGTTGTGGCAAGTGGGGGCCACTCTTCATCACGGTGCGCCGGCCTCTCACTATTGCGGCCTCTCTTGTGGAGCACAGGCTCCAGATGCGCAGGCTCAGTAGTTGTGGCTCACGGGCCCAGTCGCTCCGCGGCATGTGGGATCCTCCCAGACCAGGGCTCGAACCCGTGTCCCCTGCATTAGCAGGCAGACTCTCAACCACTGCGCCACCAGGGAAGCCTCTGATTTTGTTTTTTAAAAGAGACTGGGCATGTATTGCTTTTTCATAATTAAGAAAACATTTCACTTTGAGAAGAGAATGAAATAAAGGGTCACATAGTTGCTAAGGGAAGACACATTTCTATGGAGTACAAATGGAAACCAGAAATAGCTGTGGCTGGAGCAAACACTGTGACAGGGCGTTTATCCATTAGTACTCAGGGAAACAAAATCAACAGATGTGCCTTACACCTAGAGACCCAGCCTCCTCCTCCCCCCTTATATTTTAAAATTATAAGCAAACAGCAAAATGCTTCTGCAAAATTGCTGTTGAATTCCAATAGTTTCAGCTAATATTGATTAAAAAAGTACCTGGATGCTTGCAGTAAACTTTTCTAGTGTATTCCTCATTTCTCGTTCACTATGCCTTAACTTAACTACTGCTTCTTCCAGTTGTACTTTCTGTTCCTGAATTTGCACTGCTTTTTGAGAGTCTCTCTGCAACTGTGATTCCATTTTATTTACCTACAAAGAAGAATACCAGTGAAATAAGTTTATTCCAAGAGTCATTTCAGATTAACAGCAATTTATGAATGAAGAAAATCCAAATTCCTGATCTTAAAGACTAGAAACAAAGCAAACAACCCAGGTCCAATTCCAAAACCTAAAGCTTAGGAGATGGTCAACTAATTTCTGCATCATAGAATCAGATGAAAAGACAATTTTAAGTGTTGCATAGTCAACTACTATTACAATGAAGGTATACTACACAAATATTTAAGTGGAAAAATATAAAGTATTTCAAAATATGAAAAAAAATCAAGCCACAACTCTTCAGAAAAAGTTAGGTATCCAGGACATCTAAGTACATATTTTTAAGGAAGAAAAAAGTATAGTGTTCCGAGGGTGATAATGGAACAGAGCAGTATTTCCTGAGCATTTTGACATTCTCTTATACTTCTGGACATATAAAATATTTTGAAATAAAATTTGGAAACATGTATCAGAAGTCTTTGCTATATTTACAACTTAAAGAATTATGTCGAAATAGAAAAGATAATTATAGAATACATCAGTAACTATGTGAACAAATTAAATGTCGAACAGTAAGTAAATGGTTAAATAAATTATATGATCCGAATGTCATAACGGGGAAAGATATATATGTTGAGCATATATTTTTAAATTAACATACTTTTAGAACTTTAACAGGTTTCATATAAAATCCCACAGCTTATATACTAGTCATTTAGAGAAAATTCAATCTGTTAATTGAAAATTTGATTACAGTACATTTAAAATAGCAGAATTTTACAGTGTGTTACATATCACTAAAGCTGCTTTAACAAAAATGTCTTGACCATAATTTTGTACATGCCGACCTCTTCTTCTGAGATTTCAACAACAACTGATGAACCCATCCTTCCTTTCATTACTTTGCTTCCACCACCAGTCATTGTACCTGGAGAACAGAGGAGAGAAGTCAGACTTAGATGTCTCCCCCAACAAGATTAAATAAACTCAATGGCAGAGAAAAAGAACATTACCTGACTGTTCTATGATTTGCCCCTGTAATGTTACCACTCTCCATCTTCTATCTTTCTGATATGCTACTCTTGTGGCTTGATCTAAGTTGTCAGCTACTAAGGTATCCCGTAAGGCAAAGTAAAAAGCTTGGCGAATTTCCTCATCTTTTACTTTTACTAAATCAAATAATCGAGGAGTATTTTCAGGAGTTTGAATTTTGGTCATTTTCTTTGCCCACACTGCCATCTAAACATAAAAAAGAAAAATAATATATATATAAAGATATCGTTTCTGTTAGGTATAATTTATAGAATACACATGTATTAAACATAAGGACATGTATACAAAGTTCTGAGTATCTACATAATTGAGTATTACTTTACTGTTATTTTAAAAAAGAAGTTATTGTAAAACTATCTCTATTCACAGATGACATGATCTTATACATATTAAAATCCCGAGGAATCCATACATTAAAAAACTATTAGAACTAACATGAATTCAGCAAAGTTGCAGAATACAAGATCAATATGCAGAAATTAATTGTATTTCTATACACTAGCAATGAATAATCTGAAAATGAGATTAAGAAAATTCCATTTACAATATATATAAACAATGTTTTACAATATAAAAACAAAACAAAAACCCCAGGACACTCTTGATATTAAAGAACAAAATGAAAGGACTCCTGATTTTAAAGCTTACTACAAAGCTATAGTAATCAAGACAGTGTGGTATCAGTGTAAGGACAGACATATAGAGAAATGAAGAGTCCAGAAATAAACTCTTACATTTACGATCGGTTGATTTTTGATGAGGGTGCCAAGAAAATTCAACAGGGAAAGAATACAAATGGTGCCGGAACAACCCGATATCCAAAAGAGTAGATAGAGTTGGACCTCTACTTTACACTGTATTATAAAATTAACTTAATATGGATTAAAAAACTAAATTTAGAACCTAAAGCTGTAAAACTCTTAGAAAACAAAGGTAAATCACCCTGCCATTGGATTACACAGTAGTTTCTTAGATATGACACCCAAAATACAAGGAACTAAAAATAAACTGGACTCCTATCTAAATTTTTTGCTTCAGAGGACACCATTAAGAATGTGAAAAGACAGCCCACAGAATGGGAGAAAACATTTGCAAATTACATACCTGACAAGAGACTTGTATCCAGAATATATAAAGAATTCTTACAACAGTAAGACAAACCAATTAACAAATGGGCAAAGAATGTGAACAGATTTTTCTCCAAAGATAAACAAGTGGCCAATAAATAAGCACATGAAAAGATGTTGTACAAAAACCTGTGTACATGAAATGTTCGTGGCAGCATTAACCATAATAGCCAAAACATGGAAACAACCCAAATGTCCATCAATTGATGAATAAACAAACTGTGCTACATCATATAATGGAATATCATTTGGCAGTAAAAAGGAATGAAGTGCTGATACACATGTATTAGCCCCACCCCCTGCAAAGAGAAGAGAGGGAATTTATTTATTTATTTACTTTTGGCCACACCATGCGGCGTGCAGGATCTTAGTTCCCTGACCAGGGACTGAACATGCACCCACAGTGGAAGTGCGGAGTCTTAACCACTGGACCGCCAGGGAAGTCTCAACATGGATGACCTTTGAAAAGTAAGTTAAAGAAGCCATACACAGGGCTTCCCTGGTGGCGCAGTGGTTGAGAGTCAGCCTGCCGATGCAGGGGACATGGGTTCGTGCCCCGGTCTGGGAAGATCCCACATGCCATGGAGCGGCTGGGCCCGTGAGCCATGGCCACTGAGCCTGCGCATCCGGAGCCTGTGTTCTGCAACGGGAGAGGCCACAACAGTGAGAGGCCCGCGTACCTCAAAAAAAAAAAAAAAAAAAAAAAAGCCATACACAAAAGGTTACATATTATATGATTTCATTTATACAAAATGTCCAGAATATATAAATCTAGAGACAAAAAGTAGATTGAAGGTTGCAGGGGGATGGAGGGGTGGGAGAATAGGGGTAGTGACTCCTATTGTGTATGGGGTTCCTCTTTTGGGGTGATGAAAATATTGTGGAATTAGACAGTGGTCATGATTGAACAATCCAGACCATGTGAATGTACTAAAACCTGCAGAACTACATATTTTAAAATAATGAATTTTATCGTTGTGAATTGTATTTCAGTAAGTGTTTCTTTTTCTTTAAAACTAGTTATTGATGATGGAAGTTAGACATGCAAACTACCAATCACTGTAACATTGGAATGTATATTCCTTTAGGAGAGGAAGTAGAGGATTTTTTTCACCACCACGTAACCCCAGAGCCTAATATAATCCTCAAAACCTATCAGGTATTCACTTAAATAACTATGAAAAAAAAGCTAGGATTCAAAATCAAAAAACACTTGGCACTTAAAAACTAAATTACAGGTAGATTATGAATACCCACCTTATCCAAACCTATAAAGGTTGCAACTCCAATATTTTGTCTTTTAAGGAAGTTTACACATTCTTGGGCCGTATCGATAGAATCAACAACAATGTAGTCTAATGCATGACAACAGGATGAAATAGCAATATCGTATTTTTCATCAATTGCTCCTAAGTCCCCCTAATAATTGAGAAGAGGGGGGAAAAAAAATCAATGCACAATCAGCAAGGAATTAGGCATAATTTTATTAGTAATTCATATAGATTTTTCAAGTTGCGTTTAACTGAACTATACCTACATATGGTTTAAAACAGTACAAAAAGGGTACACAGTGAAAAATTTAAGTGTTCCTCACATTCAACCTTTCTCTTCTGCAAAGGCAATCACTACTAGAATTTTTAATCTACCTTAAAAAAAAAACGTATACAGAGTTTGAATTTTTAATGAGCACAAAATGAGAGAACTGTTTCCACTGCATGTAAATAAAAACGTATAATGTGAAGATTTGAAACCTAAAAATATTATAAGCAAAGTAACTTATAGAATAATAAAACTCTGAATTACTGAAAGCCGTTTAAGATTATGTAAATCTGCTTCTCAATCTATTAATAAATTAGTTATCCCCATTTCCTTCCAGCCACCTTCTAGCTGGCCACAGCTCCCTTCCTTCTTCAGGCTCAGGAGTTCAGGCTTCAGGTACCCACTATCCCTAGCCTTGAGTTTTGACATCATCCCTTGTTGATTTTCCTAAACTCTAGCCACAACCTTTAGTATAATGGTATAAAACCCAGAATATAATTTAAGTTCTTATTTTTTTAAAAAAAGAAAAAAGAAGTTTAAGTTTATCACTAGAGTTGGATCACTTTCTTAAAATGACTATAATTGTACAAAATTAAAAAAAAACCAAAACTATCTGTAACATGAACAAATACATACCACAAAGAATTTTATCATGCCTGAGTGTAAGAGCAAAATGTTTAAAAATGAATGTCCTTTAAAAGAAACAAAAGTAAATGTTATTTTATGTACAGAGACACTTAATATACAGTTCTTTAAGTCAAGGTAAGAAAATTATAATATCTGAGAAAAATATATAGTCATTTACAAATAAATTTACTTTACCAATCTTCCATATATTCCTGGAATTCTGCCAGATATTTTTTCTTGAATTATTGCATCAAGGACTTTCCCCCTACTTCGATTCATTGCTAAGGAACTCTTCGCTTCTTCGACTTTTTGGAAAAGATCATGAACCAAACTTTTGAAATTTATTTCTTCTTGTGTAAGTTTTTGAAGTTGTTTTTCTTTCTAAAGGTGAAAATAAAGAAAATGAATCCCAGAAGGTTACACCCTATCACAGTATAGAATTAGCTGTAATACCTAAAAAAAGAAGGAAAGGCCAATAATCAACACTTGAACCGGGACTAAGCTGTCACATTGCAACCGTTTGGTTTGATTTTGAAAAATATGGATGGGTTTTCTGTTTTAAAGGGGGCATAAATTATTTGGGTCAATAATAAGGAATATAAACACAATATAGACCTAGGAGCAGTGCACTGACTGCTAGAGCTAGAAGAGTTAGGGTTGTGGAAATCCCAGTTTGGCACCACACAGTTAGGCATAAATGTGTCCTAATTCTTATATTCTTACACTAATCAAAAACAGACCTCAATACAGGACTCTAGTTATGGGTGACCGGGCAGGGCTATGATTACACTGTGCCTTGCTTTTTAAATAAAAGGAGATTTATTATATAGTATTATATAGCATATATTATTATATCTAATTAAATAAAGGAAAACAAAGAACAAAAAAAGCATAGCTCTGAAATGAAGGATAGCATGATGAGTGAACACTACTATTGCTAAACAAAAACGTCAGGCTGCCAACAAGAGGAACCATACACATGCACACAAAAAGCCTAATTCTCAGTTTCTCAATCTCCAAGTTAGAGCAGCCATTTTTCTAACTGACATTCTCCTTCACTTCCTGGCTTTAAATTATTACCTCTATTACCAGTCATACTGGTTTAAAAGTATTGATAAAAGCTCAAGTTACAGATGTAATTTATCCAAAAATAAACTGAATCATGAGGAAGATACAAGTAGTCACTGAATATAACTTAAGTTTACATTTAAATTCTATATGGCCATGAAGTTCTCTGATGACCAAGGGGTGTGCATTTACTAAAATGAAAAAGACTTCATTTTTAGTGTAATTTCTCTCCAAGCAGCATTTTCTATTGCCATCTTGCCTAATGATGCTTTTGAGATTAAAGTTATGAAATTCCTTAGATGTCTAATTCACTCAAGGATGGCAGAGGACATGGATGAGCTAATAAGCCAGATGTCTTGATTAGTTTAACAACTTGCAGTCCCAACAAAGAAAACTACATTCATAAATTCAAAAACAGAAAAAAATACACTAAGATAGTTGACTTGCATATTTGTTCACACACACACTTACACTTATTTGTGATTTTCCCTGACCATTGCCAAAGTTGTCTACACTTAGATTTAGGGAAACAAAAAACTTTCTTCTGTTTAAATTTTTATCATGGGAAATAATGGTGGCGGCAGTGATATTATTTGCTGTTTGACACTTGAAGGGAGAACGCAGCTTCTTGACAGTCTCGATTCGTATCAGATAGAATACTGAAATATTAACCCCATTCTTTTGGGAAAGATTACACTAAACAATAACAACAAAAATATCTATGTACCAGTCACTTAAGATGTTGAGATCAGGACTTCCCTGGTGGCGCAGTGGTTAAGAATCCGCCTGCTAATGCAGGGGACACGGGTTTGAGCTCTGGTCAGGGAAGATCCCACATGCCACGGAGCAACTAAGTCCGTGCGCCACAACTACTGAAGCCCACATGCCTAGAGTCCATGCTCCGCAACAAGAGAAGCCACCGCAATGAGAAGCCCGCGCACCACAACGAAGAGGAGCCCCCACTCGCAGCAACTACAGAAGGCCCGTGCACAGCAACGAAGACTCAGCGCAGCCAAAAATAAATAAAAAAAAAAAGATGCTGAGATTTAAAAAAATATTGATGTAAATATAAAAATAAATAAAACTAGGGTTCATAAACAATGTTCAGATGAAATACAGAAGATTTACCTCCTTTAGTTCACGTTCAGTTTGAGGGAGTTTTGCCTGTATATCTCCAATTGCAGCTTTCCTTTCTTTGAGAGTCTCAGAAGCTGCCATTAGAGCTTCATTGGCCCTTCTTAATTGAGACACTGCGGTATTATGACGACTAAGATAGATATCAAGTTCTGATTGGGCTACATCCATCCTTGAACGTGCTTCATTTACTGATTTGCTGAAATCCATAAGTTCTTTCTCTCGACTCTGTTAAAATATGATAGACCCCATTAAATCCGAAATACATGTGTTTTCAAACCTAAACTGAAATGGAAACCATACATTTTGAATTTAACGATTCTACAAGCACAATACACAGAAATAAATCTCACAAGTGGAATGGACTAACAGCTTTTGCCTAGTTGTGAATGTTCATGGTATACAGTCTTTTCCCAACTGATTTCACAAGAGCTTAACGAGGTAGATACCATACTAATATCTAAGATCTCAATTTAGAGATTAAAATGACAAAGAAAGAGTGGTTGAAAGAGAACAAAAATGTGGATCTGAAATCTAGATTCCATGGTCTTTCCACATTACCTTACCTAAAATGGTAAGGTATTAAGGACTACTCAGCAGAAAGTTTCCTCAAGTATATTTATGTTGGAAATCTTTTTAAGTTTTAGAGGTAAGGTGAGGTAATCCCCAACACAAGTCATAATTTGATGAATGAGTAGAAATTTTGGACTACTGTAGTTGACTGTGCAGAAAGGATCTACTTATTAGAATAATGGAATAAGAAAAGCCCTTACAAAAGCCTAACCCTTTTATTTCACATACAAAGCACTGGCCCAGTAATACAGTATGATATTAGAACATGCCCATATTTCAAAACAGAATCAATTTAGTCTGTAAAGAAACTCCAAAACACTTCATGGAGGTATAATTAACAAAGGTCTTATGTAACTGACTTAAGTAACGTTAAGTCAATTCAACTCAATTACTGTCATCTATTAAATATCTATTTAACATGCTCAGTGTTGTCTAAAAGGCTGTGGTGAATATAAACAAAGATAGCTAAACTCTGTGCTTATACTCTTGTTGGGGAGACAAGACATAACAATGAGACAATCTCACACTCTTGTTTTAGGGAAGTGCTAACATAATGTAGTAGCTAATATTTATTAATTCCTTACTTTCCAGGCACTTTATGTAAGTAAACACACGTTTTATTTTCACAAAGATTCACAAGATGGGTAATATTTTCTTCCGCATTTTGAGGAAGACAACTTGGAGACATAACCTAACCAAGTTCAGAGATAATAAGGGATTGACCTAGGATTTGAGCCAAGAACTGACACATGAGCCATGGTTAAAACTATTACAGAAGAGCTACAGAAGCAAAGAAAGGAGATGTCATCTACGGTTAGTGTGGTCCCAAGCATTTATAGGTAGTAACCAATAAATTACCAAGAAAATAATTTAAGAGAAGATGAAAAAGAAAATTTGATGAAGTCAATGTGTAACGAAGAACTGCACATAAAACAAAGTATTTGATGAGTATTTTCTTCTACCATTATAAGTTCTCATTAACTTTTTTTTAAAACGAGAAAGCAAACAACAAAAAAGGGAAAGGGTCTAGGCTAACCATTTTTAGGAATGGTAGATATTAAAAGTTCAAACTTTTTCTTCTAACAGTTCATTTTTTAATATTACTATAAAAACAATCTTCTAACAGTTCATTTTTTAATATTGCTATAAAAACAATCTTCAAGATTAAAAAAAAGCCACCAAAATATATGCCAACCGATAAAGAAATCTTACTTCTTTTTCCTTCTGAAGCCCTTGTGTTTCCTGTTTAAGGCTATCCATAACTTCCTTTAATTTTTCTTCTTCTTTTTCTTTTTCTTTCTCAAGGGCATTGTTTCTAGTTGTTGTCTCAGTTATGATATTCTCACTCTTGGCAGGTATACTTTTAAATTCTTCAATCTAAGATTATAAAACAAATTAAAGTTACTAGAAGCATGTACCTTTAGGCTATCCAACACCATCAATATTTGGCTTATTTAAAAGCATTTCTCAGGATCTTCTAGATCTTTGCGGTTTTCATTGTAATTAAGTTTAAAGCAGCTAGCTTTAGCAAGTACTTCCTTAATCATCTGCTGCAATTTCTATGTTCTCTCAGTCTAATGGTAAAACTAATTCTATGAATTCCTGATTCCTTACGGAAGACAATTCTTCCTCGCTGAGCAGCAGATCTTCCTTCTGCTTCAACTTTAGGCTGTAATTATCCTTCTTCACCTGTGAATATGGTCTGAGTACACGGAATTCCCTAAAGTACCCTTCAAAGTACATTACAACTTACCACAAATTACCCATACACCCCTAGTCTCCCTCAAATCTTAAGATCTTTCCCAACTTTACCCTTCCAGAGTCACCACATAGGACTAATATTTTATTCCATTAACACCTTCCAGTAGTAATCACTTTTCCATGGTTGATTCCTAAAGGCTAATTATTTCTACTACAGTTACATTTGGCTTAATCTGCCCAATTCAGGGGTTTCTATCAAATCCATGCTATTTTGTTTATTCTGATTTATCTATTACCAGAGAAATTAAACATTTCCCAAAATGGTATCCCTCAAACACTGATTCACATAGATGTGTTACTGTACTAAGCATAAAGCATTTTGTGAACAAATGCATTCAGAAAATGCTTACAAGGTAAAGCAGAGCCTGTCTTATAATTACCATGTAATTATACGGTACAAAACTTTTTTTAAAAAAATAAATTTATTTTTGGCTGCGTTGGGTCTTCGTTGCTGCACGTGGGCTTTCTCTAGTTGTGGTGATCAGGGGGCTACTCTTCATTGTGGTGTGTGGGCTTCTCATTGCAGTGGCTTCTCTCGTTGCAGAGCACGGGCCCTAGGCGCGTGGGCTTCAGTAGTTGCAGCACGTGGGCTCAGTAGCTGTGGCTCACGAGCTCTAGAGCGCAGGCTCAGTAGCTGTGGCACACGGGCTTAGTTGCTCCACGGCATGTGGGGTCTTCCCGGACCAGGGCTTGAACCCATGTCCCCTGCATTGGCAGGCGGATTCTCAACCACTGCGCCACCAGGGAAGTCCGGTACAAAATTTTGAGGGGAGGGGCTTTGTGTCTCATCTATTAATATCTGATTAAACTATGAAAATAGTTTGAAACACCCCAGATTAATTGATTTATTAGTCTGGCTCCTAGCAAGTTAGGCATTCTGGTCTAAACCTTATCTTTCTTTTTTTAAAACCTCAGTCTAGCTAATCAACCACTTGCTGTAAATTATGAACTTCCCCTTCCCTCCTTTTTAAGGGGAAACTCCTGCTGATACTCTTAACTTGATTTCTGCAGACAAAGGTACTATTTTTAAAAATCTATGATATGTAGCCAAAAACATCTTTTTAAATCATACACTCTAGGAAGAAGAAAATTATTTTGTCACCAAAATAGAATTGATTTGGTAAATATTTTGCCAACAATGTACATCAGAAACATAAGCTCTAAAACTCAAAGTCAATGGATACAGGATTTCTCTTTGGGGAAAAATCAGGTTGAGATAAATCCTGAAATACTTAACATTCAGAATCCCAACTCATTCTCTTAGGTAGTATGGGCCAAGAACATTCATGAAAAATAATAAAAACTACATGTGATGTTCAGACCTGAAATTTTAAGAATTTCCCCCCTATAACTTACCTTTTCTTTATCTTTTTGAAGTTGTTTTTCCAGTTTTCTGGCTTTACTTGTAGCATGCTTTAATTTTTCCCTAACTTGAACATCTTCTAAATCTAGTTTTGTAAATTTTTCTTTGTTCTCCTCAATAAATTTTGTAATTTTGTTCAGCTTCCTAGCAAAGTAAGAAAATTCAGTCACTATTTTGGATATTCCGATATTTTAAAGCCACCTTATATACCTTGCCTGGTTATAAATGTATCCAAGTTCTTATAAGGTAGGATCCTGTTTCAAGCTGACCCTCTCCTCCACCCATATTTGAAGGAGCTGTTAAAATGCGTGACTATAGGAGTTATTTTGTCCTTCTAAGCTGGACTGGAAATAATGACTATGATGTCTAGGTATAGAAAAATTTGACCATAAAAAATAAGCAAAACTCATTTTAAAGAATAAAAAAGAAAACTGCATAGGTAAGGGATATTGGTGTCATTGAAGATTGATATGAGAAAGGTAATGAGAAAACTTTTAAGACAACTAACCTGTCAGGTTAAATGCTTATGTTTGCTATGATGTTTTGTGTTATTATGTTCTGCCACTAGGGGGTAGCATCCTGCATTATTTTAAGACCAGTGTTGGGCACTCAAATCTGTGATAATCATCAACTAGATCTAAGTCAATTAAGTTTTTTGTTTGCAAAAGGAGACCATTTTATATGCTGGCAAATGTATTACACGCATGTGCTGGCAGGAAGTTTATATACAGACACACACACATACATGCAATAAAATGTAACTAAATACTTTTAGTACTTTCCAAAAGATTATTACTTCTCTACATCTTTTACATCTTTATTCTTAGCTTTCATTTCGTTTGACAGTATATTGCTCTTCTCATTAATTTCTTTGGTATCTTCATGAATTTTTTCCTTTTGAGTCTCCATTTCAGCAATTCGTTTCTGCAGATCATAACTAGAGAGAAAAAAAAAGATATCAGAGATCCTAAAATACCATTTCTAAAATTCTCTATTTTAGTAAAATCAGCTGTTTCTAAAGTATTCTTAACCACAGTCAATTAACAATTACCTAGGATTACTGACAGGGAAGGGGGAAACCAACCTAGGGTCAAAGCTAGAATTAGGGACAAAAATAGGCTCCATATAAACAAAATTAGATCTGCTATTATATGAATTCAAAAGAATGTATATGTAAAACTATTAAGCATAGTAATACTTGTGAACCCACCTCCCAACTTAAAGTAGGGTACTTAAAAGTCAACTTCGATACTATGGTAAACAACCCTAATTTAATGAATTCATCACATAAAACAACTTTTAGAATTTTTTTAACTTCAGTCTTCATATTTCTCTAATATGGGAAAAGAGAAGGGCTTAGACTTACTGCCAGAAACTAATACAAAAATTGATAAATTAAGGTACTTACATGTAATATTGACAAACATGATTCTTTTTTCTAAATATTTCATTTTCCAAGGTAAGAAATTCAATGGCTATGTTTTTCTCTCCTTCTAAGGCGTCCTTTTCCTTTTCCACCATCTTAACTCTGTTTAACTACAAAAGTTAAAAGTATAGAGATTGTTCATATGAAGTGTATTTGAGCAATCTGAATTTAAAATATGCCAACATTAGATAAAAAACATATAAACTACATTAATGTAACAATGTTCCTCTGAAATGCCAATAAGAAAAATATAAAATTCAACCTAAAACACTAAACTCTGCCTGATTATGACTATAACTTGAATATCTAACTCAGTGAAATTAGTTAATACAGAAAACATTCTGGTTTACAATACAACTAAAGTCTACAGAAGATTCACCTTCTCTCCTCTGTGTTCATTTAATATTTCAAATCTCCGACACAAGACTTTAATAGGTTCATTTAGCCGTCCACAACCAATTATATCTTCTAAATATTCAAGCATACCCTCATCATGTTCAGTCTGGCCTTTTGGTTTCATCATAGCAATTTGTTCAACTTCACCCTTTAAAAAAAGTAATATTTCACACTCATTGCATATGTTTAGCAACATCAACCTTAAGTGAGAACTAGAAACAATGAACAAATCCAACAGTAATGAACAACTAAATGATTTAAATCAGTAGTTTAAAGACATTTAATAAAAATAAAAATGTTCTCTCCACTGATACTCTTAAGAGTTTTAAGCAAAATTCAGCAAAGTATTCATACAATCTACAATTAAATCACTGTGGCAACATTTTCAACTATTAACAGAATTATAGCTCCTATTCTAAAACAAAGAATTTTCAAAAAGACCCTTCATGGTTAAACTATACTAGGAATCCTGCCCCAAGGTGGTTAGTATCATTTCTCTATAAACCTGGTGTTATGAGTTCCTCAGCAAGCGATGGGCTTCGTAATAATGTCTCAAACTTAATGCTGCAACTTTCTAAAAACAAGACCATTAAATGAAAAAGGAAATATTACTATTTCTCATGGTAATAATATTAATAGAAGAAATCCAACTGACTGGAAACTAAAGATGCTGGTACATACAATATTGGAAAACTTTTGCTTGCAATCATTATTACAACAACTTTTGAACTGTAATTAAAATTTTAGATTAACATTATATATTTGTATTTACGCAGTTTAATTACAAAGAGAAAAGAAGAAAAAAATTCACAATCAGTAACTTTCAAGGCTGATTGCCAGGCAGCCATTTAGTTTGATGGGGAAGAAAATTTTGTCTGAACAATGCTCAGGCAAATTGCTGTTACTTTACTTCACACCAGTAGCCTGCTTGTACTCTTTAACAGAAGAAAAGGGACAAAGAGAAAAAAAAAAAATACCCCTCTATTTCTGCAAAATAGCAGACTGAAAAACATTTTTAAAAATTATATATTAAAAAAAGCACAGTCTTTCTCAATTTAAATATCTACAATATGTATTTATGAATGAACCTTAAAAATCTGGGGCAAAACTTGCTAATGACAAAGTGTCATATTTACCAAAATCCTCAACATAATTATACAAGGTAAAAAAATTTAAAGATAAAAGAAAAGATGAAACAGCTCATTTTAAAATCTACACATTAGGGACTTCCCTGGCGGTCCAGTGGTTAGGGTTCCGCACTTCAACTGCAGGGGGCATGGGTTCGATCCCTGGTTGGGGAACTAAGACTCCGTGTAAAAAAAAAAATCTACTCATTAAAGGGCATAATTTTAAACATTTTTTACAGATGATCACTTTTCTGTACTTTGATAACAGGACATGATTATAAAACACAAAGTGAAATGTTATCCTAAGAGTCTGTTATTTTTTAGATTTCTCTGCAACCGTGGGCATGTATGAATTAGTTTTAACTAAATATTAGCGTTTAAAATATGTAGCTATTTATATAAAATGTTTTATTCTGCTTTCAATTATCAGTTTTTTCCAAATATTTTCATAACAATTTTAAGTTTCAGACAGGATTTAAGCCTGGAAGAGTGTCCAAAGCTTTAGATTACAACAGGGACTCCAGCCACTGAAGAAGCCAAGAGACTTATTCAGTTGTTATCTAGACAGGGTTTATCAACAGCAACATTACTGACATTTTGGGCTGAATACTCTTTGTTGTGGGGAGCTATGCTGGGTATCACAGCATGTTTAGTAACATCTCTGACCTCTACCCACTAGATGTCAGCAGCATCAGGCTTCCCCCTGCTGTAACAGCCCGAACTATCTCCAGACAATGCTAAATGTACTGGGGGTGAGGATGCAAAACTACCCCCAGCTGAGAATCACTGATCTGGAGGTAGTCAGTTTAACTTTTTTGTATTAGTGTTTACAGTCCAAATATCTGACACCTGATAGTCTAATATTCTACTGAATTCAGTTTGAATACCCGAACACTTATTTTATGAAAAATGAAAAACCATGCCAAGAGAACTTACATGTCTGAGTCAAATCACTATAAGGTATTATTTAAGTATACACTTTTCAGATAACCAGAAGTTATGATCTGGTATAAGAATGATAAAAATATTCCTAAAGGCATCACACTTTTCCTGGCCAAATTACTTATTGAAGAGATGGAATACCACCATTAGGAGACTGCCTAGCTTTGAATAAAGCATAGTGGTTGCTTGTTTTTGGTTACTTGTTCCTCCCTTTCCAATGAAAATGAAGGATATACAGCTCTGATTTCTTTTCATTCTAACAAGGTTGCCCAGTAGAAAAAAACATTTTCAAGTGAAAGACAAGGACGTTTATGAATCAACATAGTTGCACCTCAAGTCCCATATAACATTGTTTTATTATACAGTATTCATTAAAAACAAAAAAACCGGTTATTATCAGATTAGCACTATTGAATCAACAGGTTATTAGAACATTTAGGCTTCTACCTGTCATGTGACAATTAGGACTGTTGTGGTATTTCAATGACAGACAATCTGGGACCTTTCTTGTGGTTCTGTTCCTTGATGTCCTCTGCCTTACTACCTGCTACTATTTGTTTTCTTCGTTCTTTTTCCATTTTGTGTCATTTCATGTATAATCTGTGGGTTGACAGTCTGCTTAGAGGACCACTCATATTTCAGAAAATGTACCTATCCCATGTGAAATTATAGAATATAGTTTTAATTTAGGGCAATACCTTCAACACGCTTCAGAAATAATTTTAAAGCATCAACCTGAATTTAAAGTCACCTTACCACTCAAAGCTCCAAATCACAAGTAGTGGTAGCATGATGAGACAAAAAAAAAAAAAAAAGTTTGAAGTTGCTATATGCTACCATCTGAAGCTGGCAAAGTTTTGTAGGCCCCCCCACAGTTATTTCTATTTTCTATAGCTTAAGTATACTAAACAAGGTTTTAAACAATTTTTTTCACTGTTGTTTACTAGTGACTTCCTATGTTTTAATTTATATTCACACTATATCAGAGATACTAAGCAACTGTGGAAATACCATCTGTGGGTTTTTTTTTTTAATAAATTTATTTATTTTTGGCTGCATTGGGTCTTCATTGCTGTGTGCTGGCTTCTACTCTTTGTTGCAGTGCACAGGTTTCTCATTGCGGTGGCTTCTCTTCTTGTGGAGCATGGGCTCTAAGTACGCAGGCTTCAGCAGTTGTGGCACGTAGGCTTGGTAGTTGCGGCTCGCGGGCTCTAGAGTGCAGGCTCAGTAGTTGTGGCGCACGGGCCTAGTTGCTCCGTGTCGTGTGGGATCTTCCCGAACCAGGGCTTGAACCCATGTCCCCTGCATTGGCAGGTGGATTCTTAACCACTGCACCACCAGGGAAGCCCCATCTGTGGTTTTTTAAAGTAACATAAAAATAGCAAACATATTTCAAGAGAATATTTATAACATCGAAGGCCTAATCCATAACTTATTGAAGTGGATGGCAAACCAGGGTATTGTGATTCATTTACAGCATTCCTCAATAATCTAATTTACAAGAATACAGCTTAAAAATCTAAGAGGAGGGCTTCCCTGGTGGCGCAGTGGTTGACAGTCCGCCTGCCAATGCAGAGGACACGGGTTCGTGCCCCGGTCTGGGAAGATCCCATATGCTGCGGAGCGGCTGGGCCCGTGAGCCATGGCCACTGAGCCTGTGCATCTGGAGCCTGTGCTCTGCAATGGGAGAGGCCACAACAGTGAGAGGCCCGCGTACTGCAAAAAAAAAAAAAAAAAAAAAAAATCTAAGAGGAATGAATAGGTACGATGCTTTTTTATCTTTATTGAAACAGAATCCAAATTTTAGCAAGCAAGAACCACAGGAAACTGAAGTATAGTATATAGCTATAACAAAGTTTTTTTCCTAATAAGACCTGAAGGTTTAAGGTAAATATGGGCGTTTGCATCAAAATTAAATGGCCCAGATTTACTAGGCTTTGAAATTTTATTTTGCCTCGGTAATATTTTTATTTTCTCCATTTTCCACTGTAATGTAAGTTATTGTTCTCTTATTCTGATAAATTTTATTCTAATTGCTCTTTGTGAACTAACAGAGAGCAAGAAACCAAATGACTGAGGTTAGTATCTGTCTAAATTAAGTGCATAAACAGAAAGGACAATGCTTTAGGAGGCAGACTGCTGGCTATCTATTTTGGATGCTTAGGGGTAGTTTCCTATTTTCTTTCATATAGTTGAGGCGGTTGAACAAGACACTTTTGGATAACTAAAGTACTACTGATAAAGCTAAAATTCTTTTGATATAGCACAAACTTATTTCTACAGGCTAAAAGACCAGAATCCAATTAAGTTTATATGTCATGCCAGGCTTAGAAGAAGTATACTGAAAAGAAAAAGGGAGAGATGACTAGGTAACAACTCAGATCTCAGTTAATCCAATCTCCAAATTACTAAACAATAAGAAAAAAAAATTGGTTCTTGTTTTAAGTTTTAGTTTAGATTTTATAATATGAAGACAAAAAGCATATGAAGTTGAAAACTGTGACAAAACTAGCTACCCATGAAATGCTACACAGAGCTAACAAAACCCTACTTGTTTACACTTAGTTACAGCAATGGGACAACAGCTCCCAAACAAGGTATATGTAAACAGGGAAATGTACAAACATAAAAAGCACAACGGCCAATTATAATCTAACAGTTTAGGAAGGCATGTGTATAAGTGCCTCTAAGGACAAGAAACGGAATTCTACCATTTTTGTATCATTTATAGCATCTTAGCATAGTGACTCATTAGGAATTCATTCAAATAGTCAACGATGAAATTTTAAATGACTTCAAATACTAGAAATGCCTATTGAAGACCCAACTATACCATTATAAATACTTAAAAAAAAAAAGTTTACCCTTATGGACTTCTAAACTTTAGTGCTTTTTAGTCTTAAAAATAAGTTTTCACTTTAGCTGGATTTATATTACTTAGGTTGTTAATCACTACCACTGGCCAAACAGCCTATACATTTTATTCAAAGTAATCACTTATGTCTTAGATGATGATATTCTGATGTCTCCAAGTTCCCAGCCTCCCAAACCACAGCTAGTTTTTAAGATGTTATTTAGTGGGAGATAAGGTAATGAAAACTGCATTCTTACTTACCTTCAAATGCTTTAAATCTCTAGTGCAGGAGTCTAAGATTTTGATAAGGAAATAAATAAAAATCCATAGAAACCACTGCCACTTTCCCTCAAACTTTTAAATAGGGCATCATTAGTTCTATCTAGTCCAATCCCTGTTTCTTCTTCCTAACAGGTGAGTTTCTAAGGTTCTTATCTGTAAATTTAATCAAATGGAATTCAATTTGTTAACGTGGAAAGTTTATCTTGGTATTAAAAATGATTTAAACAACGTAACTATTATGATGACATAAAAAGGTTGAGATTATGATGAGGACAAATGGCTTAAGCATCTTGGGCACTTAAGAAGCACATATTTAATATAAAGTTTACAATTTAAAAACTACTCTTATTTACATCTTTGGGAAGTTACTTTATTTAGCTCCCTTTATTAACTGAATTATGTATACAGAGGCAATATCAAGGGGAAAAAATCACCCTTTCAAGGGTTAAAACGCAGCCTATTTTGATGAGTCTATGCACAGGTGTAAAACTTTGATTATCCCTGCGTGACAGTAAATAAACAGCAAATAAGATAAACACAATGATAGGCTCCTGCAAAATGGTATCACTATCAAATTTAGTATTCTAAAGGGGCATCTTTAATCCATAATTAACCAAATCAAATCCCAGAATACAAAAAGTCCATAAAAGTTAAATCTGATTAAAACACACACACACACACACACACAGCTTTAATCCCACATTTATGTAAATTCAAATCTTATTTAGAAATATATCTGCTGATGATTTCCCAACATCCATTTTAAAATAAGTTTGGGTTATAGAAGTATTACAAATGAACTGAAGATATTAATATAAGTCATCCCAGAATATTTCTTTACCTTCTACATACACTATGTACACCTAAAACTAACATTTTTTTTTAAAAAAGCAGTTGAAGAATATAGACTAAAATGGAAATAGAGGCTAACACTTTGTAAGTTTCTTACTTGGGAACACTCAGTCATACTAATCAAACTTTTAGTATCAAACCAAAATTCCCAAGTTAGTTTAAAATCAGTAGTACAGGACACTAAAGAATATCAGCAGCTATTTCTATATCACAATATAGTTTTTCTCTTATTATTATGCTCTTGGTGATTGTAGGTAGGACAAAGGAAAAGAAGATAGCCTCAAATCAAAAGGGAATTTTAATATGTCTGACAAAGCCAACTTTTTTGAAAGGTAAGACATAGAGAAGATAAGGAATTTTTCTTACCAAGCAACACTGGTAGAAAATATCTTTACTCAGATAAAGAATACAGGGTTTCTAATAAAAATCAGCTTAACACTAGGTACTTAATTTTATACCCCTTTAAAAAGACTTTAAAAGTTGTGATACTTAAGAATGAAATATCAGTTACTTTCTGATCTTCCAGTAGAAGTGGTTCAAGTAGGCCATTTGAAACAAAACAAAGAGCTTGAATAAGCTTTTAATTGACCATTCTAAGCATTAAAAAAAAAAAAAGTTAAATCAGTTAGGTGCTCAGGTAAATTTGTGAAACACCAACTATATAGAGCTTTTTCTTTCGAGTATATAATATTAGTAGAGATGACAAACAAGAACAAAAGTAAAGGAAAAGAACTATTAAAAGATAACAAATCTCATTTAAAATGTTATCTTAAAGAGAAATACAAACAGAAATGATAAATAGTTGCTATGTCCCTGTCACGCTAAAGCAGCACAATAATATTGGTGTTTAATATTTATTTTACTACGCCAATATTTACGTGCTGCTAGAGCGGAACAAGTATGTCAGTCCATCCAAACATAAAATGAGCATATGATGATGAAATTACAGTTCTGAATGAATTTCCTTAAATTTCTAGAGCAGCAAATAATGATTCGCATCTTGACTGTAGTATGTAAACCATGATGTGCTGCTACAGTACTTTAAGGCCTCAAAAATACAGGATTCATCCAATAGGGAAAAATTCTTTACACTTTATTTTTAAAAAAAAAGAAAAAAAAAAGAACGAGAGAACCTCTAATATCTTTAATAAATTTACCTGTAAGATTAAAAATCTATTATGGTCCAAGTCAATTCCATGGCTTCGAAGAAGATTTCCAACATCCTTAAATGTTTTCTTCTTCCCACTTATGTGATAAACAGAAGTATTATCTCTGTAGGCCGTTCTGGATACATAAAAGTTACTGTTAGGAACTACTTCATAATCATCCCCTTCCTGTTTTGAGGAAAAACAAAACCAGAAAACAATTGTTGGTATTAAGTCAGAGGTTTGCTCCAAATTTCACTCACTTCATACTGAAACCAATTCTATGGCTTAAGAACTTCAATTGAATATGCACATAAACTGACAATAGTTCTTAGAATTAATCTTAGCAAAGATTAGAAATAATTTTTCAAGTTCTTTGATTCCTTCCTCATAGATCACAAAAACCAAAAAGTCAATGCAACCAAACAAACAAAAAAGAAAACACCCCACCTTCAAGCCTAAAAACATATTTGACTGAGAAAAGAATTGATGAAGGGGCACAAGAAACCCACTGCATCCAAAACAAACTCACCCAAATTATTAAACCATGTTGACAGATTACTAGTCCATTAAAAAAAAGCTGCAAGAGATGATTTGAGGAAAAAGGAAGGAAGGTATAGTAGTGGGATGATACAGCTTAGTTTTTTTCCTTTTTTGGGTGAAGAATACGTCATTAATTGAAGGTAAAAAAATTGCAAACAATTGACAACTACATTCCCCTATTTTTTTAATCAAACAAATTTAAAAAATGAAGTGCAAATCTGCTTTAACATTAAAACGTGCTTTCCTTTAAAATCTATGTCATTTTGAAATCATGGTTTTTAAAATTTACACAAATCAAGTGTAATTAATAAGCAATGGAATCAAATCTGATTTACTGGCAATCTACTTTCCAACCCAAACTGTACAACAGAAAAGCACTAAGAAACAAAATTAAAATATATATCACCATGTAGATTTAATTAAGGCTGTTTATATTAAAATTAAAAAAAAAAAAACCAAAACAAGACCTAGAGGCCAAATCACATCCTCATTTCATTATGTAATTCGTTTTCTACTGGTGATGCTTGGGCGTCATTTTTAGGTTCCAGTCAGTCATTTTTGAACCACGTATTTCCAAAGTTAATTATTAAATAGAAGAGGAAAAAAAATCCCAATACCAACAGAGCCAAGTGAATAATCTAAATAGGCATTTTACCTATAATTGTCTCCTCTTGTAGAAAACAAACATGTTACCTTACCCTTCCCTGTTTTAAAAGGGTAGCTTACTTCAAACTGAAGCAAAGCTCTTTCGTATCACCTATACAGATGACTACTAGTAACATTAAATTTAATGCGAAATGAAATAAGGGAGATGGTAAAGTTAGTCAAACTGTTAACATTTTCAAGTTTAGGTAACTTATCTGAAAGCAATAAAAAAATAACTTTAAAAATGAATCCAAAATTTATAGTAAGAGAATGCTTACTTGGTACTCGGGATACTAAAACCGCTCAATGTTTTACACCAAAAAGGTAAGCATTATTATGAGCTACTTACAATGCATTTCCCTGGCTAAAAATTTTAATATTTTAAGTTTAACAGCCACTACCACCAATCCTCAAAAAGAAAATATGGTCATGGAGGTAATGAAATAAATACTGGTTCTGCTTTAACCATATACTAATTTTTACGAGCCAATTTAAGCCAAAAATAATAAAATGTACAACGTATTGAAATCCTTTGTGCTCCTTACTTGAAGTTGCAAATAACTAAACAAAGTCCCTTACCTTATCAATTATCTTTTGAAAGTGAACTTCTACAGTACAACTCTGAATATCCTTGTGTTCATCAGAATTGTGTATTAGAACTGAGAGTTTTTTAGATCTTATTTTTTGTGCTCGATAGCCAAACACAAAAAGCATAGAATCAATAACATTGGATTTGCCACTGCCATTTGGCCCAATAATACAGGAAAAGCGCTGCATAAAAACAGGAAAAACAAAAGTTAAAGATAGCTGTTTTCATATATCATGTCTCTTATATCACAAGCTTCAACACTTTAAATAAGACCATATTCTAATTTTAACTCGGACTTTTTACAAAATTCATTCTTACATTTAAAGAGAAAATACTCCTTTCAAACATAAAACCCACCAATTCTATTCAGTGTGGAAAACTTTATAAAGAGAGGTACCAAAAGATAACCAGATAAACAAAAGCTAATTTCAGTTGTTAAAAGCATAGGAAACATACTGTATTTTTAATCAATCAGCATAAATACAATAACTACAAAACTGAAACATTTTGTAATAAAGACGCATTACCTTACAACGGTTATTTTAAAAAGGTCAAATACCTTATGGAAAGGTCCCAGAATTTTTTCCCCAGCATAGGATTTGAAGTTCTGGTTTACAATATGAGTTATCATAAGACGAGGAGCTCCAGCTTCATTGGTCATTGCTGGAGGTGGGGGAGGAGGGATGCTATTCAAAATCTCTTCTAAACTTCTATTATCTATTTCCTCACTTGGAGTCTCTAAGTCAGTCAAAGGAAAGGGAAAGAAAACAAGGGGGAAAAAGCCTGCATTAGTGCAATTAGTTCGGAGGACTACTGCCTGCTAATCTCTGGAGAGATGTTATTTATGAAACCTAGGAATCTGTATTTTCACTCAAATATAGTATTATCCTAAACTCACAGGAGATGAGAATCTTTTGGTTTGGTTTTATCAAAAAAGAAATTCTTGAAAGAAATGCCACCAGTCACAAAATTCTATAGAAATATACCTTTTAGGAGCTGAAACACTACATCGTCATGCAAATCTGGGAAATCCACAACCACTTGATCCCCTGCTCCCTGTCTAAACAGGTGGTTAAATCCTAAGGCTCTAGATCCAACTCTCTCCGTATCTGTGAGCACCTGGAACCTTAACTTTGGACACTCGCGAGCTCTAGAGACACTGTCACAGGGGTTTCATGTCATTCAGTTCCTGAACTCACAAAAGCTACGGTAGTTTCGAGTAAATTATCATCTTCTCTTAGAAATTTAAGACCACGAAGGTGAAGTTACAGGGTCAAGAAACTTTTCATCATTATTATACACTCAGGCTGACTCTGTCTGAAAAACAGTCCACTAGCTCCTGGCTGACGGTGTCGATTTCCGTGGAAATAGAAGACAATGAACAGAAATTCAGAATTGAAGCTATTTACTCGCCCCCATCCCCGCCGGCACCGTTACTCCGACTGCACATTGTCTGATCTGTGAAAATCGCCAAATCGCTTTCTTGAGCGGCTCTACCTGACCTTCAGATGTCAACCCCGCAGCCCCTCTTGCCCGCGCCCAAGAACACCAGCCAGTCCTGGGTTGGGCGCGGATGCACCCGGGTCTCCCCGCGCTTGCCCGCGGCGTTGCGAAGGGCTACTCACCTGCGGTGGCAGGCGCGAGGCTCCCCGCGCGGCCGGGCGGCGGCTCGGGCTCCGCGTCGCTGCTGGCGCCGTCCGGGGACTGCGGCGGCCCTTCCTCTCTGCGCCGGGCGGTGGAGGGCTGGGTGCCTTTACGGGGCATGGTCGCTGGGGCCAAGGGAGAGCCGGGAGCAGGTCGGGCCGCGGGCCAGTGCCGGTACGTTCCCCCCGACCCGGCCCCGCGGTGAGACGGGCTCAGCTCCCCACCCCGTCCCACTGGGGGAAAACTCCGTCCACTCGTTTTCGAGAGACCCGTCGTCAAACCCGCTCAACGCCAGCGGGTCCTCGAGAAAGAAGGCACAAAAAACTCAAGTGCCAAGAAGGCGGGATTCGTTTTCTTAAGTCCTAAGCAAGTGGGAAAACCTAGACGTGCTTGGGGATCAAGCAAGAATAGAGCAACTGCTTAGGTTCTTTTTACTTTTTAATGCACCCCCGCCGTCCGCCCACAGTATAAGTATGAAAGACTATTCTAACGTAATTTCTAAACGAAGCAATTCCCATACGCTGGCATTTGCGGACATTCCCACGCTCTCTGGGATAGGGATGCAAGCGCACAGATTCTGAGAGACAAGAGTTCGTTTGAAGGGCTATCTATCACCTCTTCCCAGAACAGCGAAGAACCAACTGGCGACGAGCCGCCCACTTTCCTCTCCCCGCCATTTAGCCCTCGGCGCAGCGGACGGCCCGGGGTCTTTGAGGTCTGCTCTCTACAGTCCGGCCGGGTCCGACCACTCGCGATTTTCAAATCGGAAGCCGGCAGCGCTGGCTCCGGTTCAATAGCCTTGAGGTGGCAGGGGTCTGTCCCTCCGGGGTCCGCGGCAGAATCCCGTTGGATAATAAACTACGAAAGGTCACCAGTTAAGGGCTCAGACCCGGTGGTTAGTCCCTTGCGGGAAGTGAGACGGCCAGGGGGCCACGCTAGAGTCCGACCAAGACCGAGATTTCTGAGAAGAGGTCCGCGAGGCTGAGAGGCTCCCCCCAACCACCCCACCTCGGTCCCCCAGTCTCCTGAGCAACGCTTATGTAGCTCAGAGAAGTGGCGCCCGGGAGAAGCGCGCGGGAGTCTCGACTGCCGGGGAGCGGCCGAGGGGGGAGGGGTGACAGCGAGAGAAATCTCCCGGCGGCAGCCTCAGCCTAGACTTCGGCTGCTCCAACTCAAGGCCTCTACTTTCCAGGAGCCCGCGGACGGGACAGGAAGTAAGCGTGTGCAACCTGATCAGGAAAAGAAGTATTTTACCTGCCGGATAGTCCACTCAGACCAACGTTGGAAACGGTTGCATACCCCCCCTCTGCTACCGGTGTTTCGGCTGCGGGTCCTTCACTCGAAAATGGCGCCTAAAATACAAACTCGAACGGAAATTCGTTACAAATGCGCGCAATGCTTTCTGGGAACCACTAATTTGAAAAAAATGCGGCGATTATCGCCGCCATCTTCTGGTGGCTTACGCGCATGAGCGAACTGCTGGCGGGACCCAGGCGGCAGGGGACGTTTTCTATTAAGTGAAAAAGAAAAGCGAAACAATGTTTTCCGTGGGCCTACGGCAATAGCACTCTTATAAAAAATATTTTTTAAAAAACCTTGAGAATTTTGAAAAAGATAAAAAAAAGAGTGGGGCTCCGCCCACAGCTAAAGGCAAGGCTCAGTCGTCCAATGACGCCCCTTAAGGAGAGGGCGAGCTCGCTGAGGGGCGGGGTCTAGGGCCTGCTCGGGTGACGCCCGGCAGGGAAGTATCGCGGGAAGATGGAGTGAGCTTAGCTCTTAAGAGTCGCTATGGTGACAGAGAGGCCCGAGGCTTCTTGGTAACTGGTCCCACTTCTGTGAGTACGATCGCCACCGCTTTCCTGGCACTTAAGGTAAATCTCTTTACTTCTAGGCGAGAGGTGAGGAAAGGGTTTGGAAGTTGTAGCCATTACTGGATCCACCTTCCCTGCTCTGAGGGTGTGTGCGGAGTGGAGCATCAGTTATTTTCCGTCTCCCTGGGGGCGGTGCGGCTCTGGACGTAGCTTTTGGAATGCAAAGGAGGAAGCCCTGAGTTTGGAGGGAGTAGAGGGGTAACAAGGAGAAGAGAAAACCTGGATTGGTGAATGACCGTGTAGTGAAAAGCAAAATGATTTCGAATTATTGGTGTTAGGTCATTCATTAATGTCACTAGTGAAAGGGGGTTTCGCGTTCTTAAAATAATTTGGCTGAAAGACTCTGTAATGGAAGAAACGATTTGCTGGAGTCTGGGTATGAGAAAATTATTGATCAGCAAATATTTCTTAAGTAGCTTTTGTATACATTGCACTGTCAGGCATAATCAGGATTATTAAGCAAGTATACCTGTTCCCAGAGAATCTAGTTTTACTAGTAGGTTTTTAACCAGGAGTTTGTGGATCTGGTGGTAGGTGATTGGAATTCAGAGGAGTTCATACCACCTCTTCTCCACTCCCCCCCCCTGCCCCCCGCCCCCGAAATCGTATACAAAATTATGGGTGCTTGTGAATTTTTCTGGGGAGTTAGTGTTCCCAGAACTTTGATCAGATTCTCAAACGTGATCCTAATCCCTCACAATGTTAACCATTAATTGATTTGACTATGTCCAGCAAGCATTTATTCAGCGACTCTTAAGTACTTGACATTGAGAACTGGGAGCCTCTTTTATTCCCCCTTTTAACTTTTGTATACTTAGGACTTGGCATACTCAAGCCCCAGTAAATCTGCTTTATGAATGAATTTACATTGTCATTCTAAGTAAGTAAGTATGACTCTTGCCCTGAGGAGCATATTTCAGGTTCAGTGTTTCTCAAGAGGAGGGGTGGAGGACACTCCCCTCAAGTGTAAGAATTTGGTGAGGTTGGGAGACTGGTGTGATTTGAATAAACATTGACTTGATATTGTAATATACCTTTATATTTGAGGTAATATAAGTTGAAAAAAATTGTTTTCATAAGACAAACTACAGACAATAAAGCTCAGTGAAAAAAAATTTTGGCTGGTAGGTGTACAAGAAAATGTAGCAGTCAGTTCTCTTTGAAAACATCTGGAATCTTTTGGAATTTTGCAGTCTCTAAAACACTATTAAAACTGAGTTGGAGAGATATTAACCATGAAAAAAGCAAAGACTAGACCAAATTGAGTTATGTATATGGGAGATAGCATGATGTAGTAGGAAGATATAACACATAACAGGAGTCCCAAATCTCATCATTTTTTTAGCTACATGCTTAAACAGTTTACTCAATTTATCAATCTCTGAGATTGTTTATTATAAAACCAGCATATAATACCTACCTCATAGGATTGTTTATGATTGTCTAGCACACACACTATATGCATTTGGTACTGCTGTGTTTATGACATTGACCTTATTAGGGTATGTGCTAAGGATGAATAATGGGACATCAAGTTAGAAGATTAGTTTATGAAGGGTTTTGAAAGCCAGGTCAAGGATGTTTTCAAAATATTAGAAAAATTTTGAGCTAAGGAATGACTTGGTAAAAAATAAAAATTAACAGTAGTTATGTGGGATGTGTAAAAAGGGAAAG